AATTTCAAGAATATCATACAGCAATTCTTATCATGGACAACAATATATATTGCATAGCAATATATAACATATCTGCCTGGCTTATATACATTCCTCTATTCAAATTGTCCATGTAAATGTTCAGGCAAAATAGCCCCGCTATAATGTACCTTTGTGCTCATCTTAGATATCGTTTCTTTGTGTAAGACATACAATAATGTACCGTTTCTATATAGCACTTATGACACAATTTCCTAGAAAGGGGCGTGACAGGATTGGGTGGTCGCAATGACACAATTTCCTAGAAAGGGTCGTGACAGGATTGGGTGGTCGTAATGACACAATTTCCTAGAAAGGGTCGTGACAGGATTGGGTGGTCGTAATGTCACAATTTCCTAGAAAGGGTCGTGACAGGATTGTGTGGTCGTTATGACACAATTTCCTAGGAAGGGTCGTGACAGGATCGGGTGGCCGTAATGACACAATTTCCTAGAAAGGGTCGTGGCAGGATTGGGTGGTCATAATGACACAATTTCCTAGAAAGGGTCACGACAGGATTGGGTGGTCGTAATGACACAATTTCCTAGAGAGGGTCGTGACAGGATTGGGTGGTCGTAATGTCACAATTTCCTACAGAGGGTCGTGACAGGATTGGGTGGTCGTAATGACACATTTTCCTAGAAAGGGTCGTGACAGGATTGGGTGGTCGTAATGTCACAATTTCCTAGAAAGGGTCGTGACAGGATTGGGTGGTCGTAATGACACAATTTCCTAGAAAGGGTCGTGACAGGATTGGGTGGTCGTAATGACACAATTTCCTAGAAAGGGTCGTGACAGGATTGGGTGGTCGTAATGACACAATTTCCTAGAAAGGGTCGTGACAGGATTGGGTGGTCGTAATGACACAATTTCCTAGAAAGGGTCGTGACAGGATTGGGTGGTCGTAATGTCACAATTTCCTAGAAAGGGTCGTGACAAAATTGGGTGGTCGTAATGACACAATTGTCTAGAAAGGGTCGTGACAAAATTAGGTGGTGGTAATGACACAATTTCCTGAAAAGGGGCGTGACAGGATTGGGTGGTCGTAATGACACAATTTCCTAGAGAGGGGCGTGACAGGATTGGATGGTCGTAATGTCACAATTTCCTAGAGAGGGTCGTGACAGGATTGGGTGGTCGTAATGTCACAATTTCCTAGAAAGGGTCGTGACAGAATTGGGTGGTGGTAATGTCACAATTTCCCAGGAAGGGTCGTGACAGGAATGGGTGGTCTTAATGTCACAATTTCCTAGAAAGGGTCGTGACAGGAATAGGTGGTCGTATTGACACAATTGTCTAGAAAGGGGCGTGACAGGATTGGGTGGTCGTTATGACACAATTTCCTAGGAAGGGTCGTGACAGGATTGGGTGGTCGTAATGACACAATTTCCTAGAAAGGGTCGTGACAGGATTGGGTGGTCGTAATGACACAATTTCCTAGAAAGGGTCGTGACAGGATTGGGTGGTCGTAATGACACAATTTCCTAGAAAGGGTCGTGACAGGATTGGGTGGTGGTAATGACACAATTTCCTAGAAAGGGTCGTGACAGGATTGGGTGGTCGTAATGTCACAATTTCCTAGAAAGGGTCGTGACAGGATTGGGTGGTCGTAATGACACAATTTCCTAGAAAGGGTTGACAGGATCCTAGAAAGGGTCGTGACAGGATTGGGTGGTCGTAATGACACAATTTCCTAGAAAGGGTCGTGACAGGATTGGGTGGTCGTAATGACACAATTTCCTAGAAAGGGTCGTGACAGGATTGGGTGGTCGTAATGACACAATTTCCTAGAAAGGGTCGTGACAGGATTGGGTGGTCGTAATGACACAATTTCCTAGAAAGGGTCGTGACAGGATTGGGTGGTCGTAATGACACAATTTCCTAGAAAGGGTCGTGACAAAATTGGGTGGTCGTAATGACACAATTTCCTAGAAAGGGTCGTGACAAAATTGGGTGGTCGTAATGACACAATTGTCTAGAAAGGGTCGTGACAGGATTGGGTGGTCGTAATGTCACAATTTCCTAGAAAGGGTCGTGCCAGAATTGGGTGGTCGTAATGACACAATTTCCTAGAGAGGGTCGTGACAGGATTGGGTGGTCGTAATGTCACAATTTCCTAGAAAGGGTCGTGCCAGAATTGGGTGGTCGTAATGACACAATTTCCTAGAGAGTGTCGTGACAGGATTGGGTGGTCGTAATGTCACAATTTCCTAGAGAGGGTTGTGGGGTGGTCGTAATGACACAATTTCCTAGGAAGGGCCGCGACAGAATTGGGTGGTGGTAATGTCACAATTTCCTAGGAAGGGTCGTGACAGGATTGGGTGGTCGTAATGACACAATTTCCTAGAAAGGGTCGTGACAGAATTGGGTGGTCGTAATGTCACAATTTCCTAGAGAGGGTCGTGACAGGATTGGGTGGTCGTAATGTCACAATTTCCTAGAAAGGGTCGTGACAGAATTGGGTGGTCGTTATGACACAATTTCCTAGGAAGGGCCGCGACAGGATTGGGTGGTGGTAATGTCACCTTTTCCTAGGAAGTGTCGTGACAGGATTGGGTGGTCGTAATGACACAATTTCCTAGAAAGGGTCGTGACAGGATTGGGTGGTCGTAATGACACAATTTCCTAGAAAGGGTCGTGACAGAATTGGGTGGTCGTTATGACACAATTTTCTAGGAAGGGTCGTGACATGATTGGGTGGTCGTATTGATTACATGTGGAGCCACATTTGTACTAGGTGCGCAATAAGGGGCCGCACCCTTCAAGCTGTTAAACTTCGCTGACACACCCAGTAACACTTGGGAACACAAAGTCAAGTTGAAGATATGTTAAAAACATAAAATTACCCCAATGGATGTATTCATTCAGAGTGACAGAAAGTGGACCTGATATACACACCCATAAGAGGAAAGCCTAAGACAGCAGAAGACAAAATATCATTCAAAATTACACCTATTTAACGACATTAACATTGTAATTCGTATCATTGTAGATCGCAATCCGACTACATGTAATACTGCCGTAATCAAAAACATCCAAATTTGCGGCATTTTATGAATAAACGTGTGGTATGCACCATCAGATTGTCTGTTAACAGAAATTATACATGTAATGTTAACTTTATTTGATTTACAACCGCGGGCAAAACCCGCGTGGTCGGGCAAGTAACCCCTTAACTTTTCACGTCCGTTCCGGGAATCGAACCCTGGACGGCTAGGCGAAAGGCAAGTGCGTTACCATCGCGTTGTTGAGCTTCTAATATAAAATAATGGATTTATTCATTGTTCAATTATTTATTTTCCTTAATTGAAATTTATTGATACAAATTTCAAACAATAACTGAGATTTATCTACTGTTAAAGTAAGCACCATTAAGTCACAATCAAGTTTGTTGTCTTTTTTCCACTTTGATCGAGATTTCTGCTCTGTCGTAATTGGCGTAAAATAAACTTTTCACTCCGACCTATTACAAATAGCGAGTATCATCATCCCCTCATTAGAGATTTCCAAAGCGTTTTGACGCTGTTTCACTTAATAAACTCACGTGGAAAGTTCAGCTTCGATTAGTTGGTATAATAGGATATACACTGGGTGATCAGGCAATCACTACATAAGTATATTTATTATTTAAGGTATTGTGAATGAGTAGGAATCCAAATGGTACTCCGTCAAAAGTCGAGTTTCTAAAGGAACAGTCCTTGGACCAGTATTGTTTCTTGCACATATCAATGACAAAATTCACTGCATCTATAACATTTTTTGCCGAAAGTTAAGAAGAGTGTCTCAAGGCCTTGGGTGAATTGTCAAACACGTGACAATTGGAGATAATCACCGATTTGAGAAATGTTTTGCAGCTGGACCAAAACAAAAACTGAATACACTATGGTAGCAGATCTGACCAAGAGAACAACACGGAGAAAGATTTCTCTTTGACTTAATGAATGTGCAGCTGACTCTGTGAAGAAGGCTAACAGATTGCTAGGTCTGATCAAAACGATTTTCTGCCAACTCGCTTAAGATACATGTATGCTCATCCCACAATTTACAGAGTGAGTCCTTGAGTGTGCAGTTATCTGTTAACCCCGAGTTTCGAGTTTCTGCCCTATATTAATACAAATATATAAACATATGTTAGGAATTTATGTCAAGGCCCAGTAGCCGTGACAAGTCAGACAGGGCATTTTATAGAAAAGTGAAGGTGAATGTAACGAAATCGTCAAGTAACTACCCTTCAGTGTTGAGCCGGACACTCTACCACTCCACCACAAGGAAATTCTTACTAACCGCAGCTAGTAAAGTGAGTGTTCTCTCCACTTCTTTATGTAGAATTATACACTAAATAAAAATAGGTTAAACCATGACTGTCAAAGGCCTTCACAAGCCAAAGACATTGATGCATTTTCATGTAGTGTCTTTCATCGACGAATCGAAACTTAGCTAACACTTGGTAAAAGTTGCATTCATTTGATTTTCGAGACCTCATTCTGACACTACACCGATTGTAAAGACATCTATCAATAGATTTTCATATATATCCCAACCAATCCAGTTATATTTATTTTAAGGAATTGGACACTGACAACGATGATGTTGATTCGGACCATTTTCACATGTATCAGGATCTTCATACAAGAACATAAAATGGAAATAGTTTATATTTTAATGAAATAGTTTATATTTTAATGAAATAGTTTATATTTTAATGAAATAGTTTAGATTTTAATGAAATAGTTTTAATGAAATAGTTTATATTTTAATGAAATAGTTTATATTTTAAAGAAATTAACAGAAAATCTTAAAATGATCATTTTATCTATATGTCACCTAAATTGTCTTCACATAACTGACACATCAGTTTCTGATGAATAATTATGCACAAAGTTACTAATACAACATACAGATGATATCTTCATTTATCTCACCAATATAACCACAAACACAAGTAATATTTCAGAAAACTTTTAATATGGTTAACAATTTATCACAAGATATAAAAAAATCGTTTTATTTTCATAATTAGAAAAGTGATGTATATTTCTAGTATCAAGTAATTAGTAAATATAACATGATTGTAAAATGTACAGATATCATTAAAAAAAACCAGGATGTACAGGGCATTCTTAAAGGAGAACAAGGATTTTAATACAGTTGTTTAATTCATCCTGTTAGGCCCCCAAGACCCACTATTTTATAAAAAAATTGATTCCCTTTCCCGCAATGATACTTCATAACACAGAAGGACAGAATCCAACCATGTTTTCGGAGGAAGAAGGATTCTAAAGAATTTGCTTTATTTCCCCTATTGGGGCCACCCATCTCACAACCTGAGACCCACCATTTATACAAAATCGAATAGCCTTCACCAAATGTTGCTTCAGCTTAAATTTTGGCAAAATACAATTATTTCTTCACGAGGAGAAAGATTTTGATTATAAAGTATTTGCTCTATTTCCTTCTCCTGGCCCCATCCCCATACCAAAACCCAGTTATAATACAAAATTGATTCCCATTCACGTAAGAAGAATGCTTCAGACCGAATTTAGGCAAAATCTAATAATTCCTTAACAAGAAGTAATATTTTAAATAATTTACTCCATTTCCTGTAATTTGCCCCCGAGCTACCACCACATGGGGCTTAGACCAACCGTTTATAAAATAAAATGGGATTTCTCTTCACCCAAGAATATCTGACACCTGATATTGGCAAATGTCAACCATTCCTGTAGGAGGAGTAGGATGTTAAAGGTTTTGTTCTATTTTATCTATTGGGCCCCGCCCCTCCCTCCTTAATGGGACTAGATCCATTGTTTATTCAAAACTGATTCCCTTTCAGCCAAGAATGCTTCAAATCAAATTCAGGAAAACCCAAATATTCCAAGGAGTTGTAGGGTTTTCATTAATTTGCTCAATTTCTTCTAATTAACCCCGTCTCTCTCTCTCCTCAAGAGGCAAAAACCATCCTTTAATTCAGAATTGATTCTTCTTAACCAAAGACTGCTTCACACCAAATTTGCATAAAATCCACTTAATCCTTCCGGAGGTTAAAGATTTTTGAGAGTCACCCCTCCCACCTTTGGGGGCCTAAACCAACCCTTTTGTACAGTAATCCTTAGGACCAGGTGAGCTAAAAATACATTTCTAGCACATGTATTTTGGTAACACGAGACATAATCCTTCCCGATCCTGTAAATTGTTGTATTGATTCAAATGTGTTCATGGATGCACAACCGTAATGTTTCTGGATATGGGAGCTGCCATTATTTATTTAACATGTTGAAAAGAAGCTAGTATAAATATGTGTTCCTTATAAACCATAAGCTGCAGTAATATCACATTATATACATAAAGAACATTATGTGTACTCACAAACAACAAAAAGAAAGGTAGGCGACTGAATTTTATAAAGCATTTTTTTTGCAGTGAACGTTTGAATGTCAGCCATATTGGATTTCGGCACTTGGATTGAACCAGAAGTAGTAAAGAGGGCATATTAGTGAAAAAGACTTCCTTATATGGTAATTGCAATTAAGCTTTTTCTGATTCTAACAAACAAACAAACATGTTCGTTTCAAAACACATCAACAAGAAATCACAAAGTGTCCTAGTAATGAGTACAGAACTTAAGTCACAGTGACTCACTGTGTGTCAAGTTGATAGGGAAAAGTCAAACCAAATCTTCACCCTTGGGTTGAAATCCCCCTATTTCAACCCCAAATGGCAGAAAGATTCTATCATTGTATTACAATCTTCCCAAAAATTAGATTTAGAGTCATATGTCATCAAATATTGTAAACATATATCATGAATCATGGAATATACGACAATGAGTAACAATTCTATATTTCCAAGCTCTATGAAAGCCAGAAGAATGGATATATAAAACATTTATTTGGACCCCATCAAGTTAATATTGATCCTTTCGTTGATATGTTTCAGAATCTGAATGTAATCAGTTTTTTATCAAAACATGTTATCAAGTGTCATACACTTTTAAACAGGTAGACATTGTGGAGCGACACACTGGGCATGGTGCTTTTTCAGACAGAAGGAGATCAGCACACTGGTTGCACAAACAGTAATGACCACACGGCTGGATGATACAATCCTTCCTTTTACGTTTACATGCTGAGCAAAGAATCTTCTCTTCCTGTGTAAAAAAAGAGAATTAAGTATAGTATCTGCTACAAAGAAAGTACATTATCAAACAAAACTCAGAGGAGAAAAAATATTGATCACCATGTAAATAAACTCATAATTCTTTTCTAAAATCTAAAAAAAACACAAAAGGAACATTTAAAAAAACTGAATCCACATTTTAAACAAAATTTGTAGTTCATGCCCTTTAGGTATAATAAAAAGGGAGACAAAGATAAAGGGAGGTAAGTCAACACTAACATAATGCACCTGTACTTTATTGAAAGGTAAAGGGAGGTAACAATCGCTCTCAGAGTGTATTGCGGTACCTCAATAATATCTCTGTAAGCGGCTTATGACATTTTAAGATGCTTTAAAAAAGTATTTCAATATTTTTCTGTTTTGTAATTTGTATTATTATTTTGAAAAAAAATGTTTGTTCTGGAGGAAAATGACTACAGTCGTTCATATGGTTATAAATGTCATAGATTATATCATGGAAGATTGAGTAAATAGCCACCTACTGTTGTATTTACATTTTGTACTTTCTCTTTTCAACTACTGATGTGTTTTTGAGATACTTGTTCATATACTGTGGTATCAGTGATTATTAATTGTAATTTGACAATGATATTGACACCTAACCTCTCCAAAAGCACAGATGTTGTTTTTAATGCTGATAGGTTGCATACTAAATAGTCTACAGCTGTGTCCTTCATTGGTGTTGTCAGGGATGCCAACATAGTTTTGCCTGATGCCCAACTTTGACCCTTACCTCGGGGTAGCAGTCAATCAACCCTTTACAGATATGCATTATGACTGTTTAGGAATGACAGCTCTGGTAGAGATTGAGGAGATGATAAGTCAACACTAACAGAGTGCATCTTTACTTTATGGTAAATTAAAATGGAGGTAAGTCAACACCATTATATTGCAACATTACTTAATGGAAAAGTAAAGGCAAGTAATAATTTTTATTCATTTTGCATTTACGGAGAGGTTAAGTGAGGTGGGTCGACATCAAAAGAATGCACCTTCATCTCCTGAAAAGGTCAAGGGAGGTAAGTCAACAACAACAGAATGCAATCCCACTTCATGAAAAAGGTAAAGGGAGGTAAGTCATCATCATATAACTGATGGGTTATTGGGGTGATAGTGTTAAGGTTTATCTATAGTGGTAAGTGGTTTTTTATGTAGTGGTTCTTTACCTGTCCTGATTGTTTGCCTACAATTATTATTTAGCTGTGACCTTTTATATATATATGTTATGTTTGTTTACCTGTACTAGTTACCTGTACTACTTACCTGTAGCATTTGTTTTTCTCTTGATTGTTTACTGATGCTGGTAGTTTACCTATATTGTTTGTTTACCTGTACTAGTTACCTGTACTAGTTACCTGTAGCATTTGTTTTTCTCCTGATTGTTTACTGATGCTGGTAGTTTACCTATATTGTTTGTTTACCTGTACTAGTTACCTGTAGCATTTGTTTTTCTCCTGATTGTTTACTGATGCTGGTAGTTTACCTATATTGTTTGTTTACCTGTACTAGTTACCTGTACTAGTTACCTGTAGCATTTGTTTTTCTCCTGATTGTTTACTGATGCTGGTAGTTTACCTATATTGTTTGTTTACCTGTACTAGTTACCTGTACTAGTTACCTTACATTCTCTTTTTTGATGTATGATTTGTTTTTCTCCTTATTGTTTACTGATGCTGGTAGTTTACCTATATTGTTTGTTTACCTATATTGTTTGTTTACCTGTACTAGTTACCTGTAGCATTTGTTTTTCTCCTGATTGTTTACTGATGCTGGTAGTTTACCTATATTGTTTGTTTACCTGTACTAGTTACCTGTACTAGTTACCTGTAGTATTTGTTTTACTCCTGATTGTTTACTGATGCTGGTAGTTTACCTATATTGTTTGTTTACCTGTACTAGTTACCTCTACTACTTACCTGTACTAGTTACCTATACTACTTACCTGTACTACTTACCTGTAGCATTTGTTTTTCTCCTGATTGTTTACTGATGCTGGTAGTTTACCTATATTGTTTGTTTACCTGTACTAGTTACCTATACTACTTACCTGTACTACTTACCTGTAGCATTTGTTTTTCTCCTGATTGTTTACTGATGCTGGTAGTTTACCTATATTGTTTGTTTACCTGTACTAGTTACCTGTACTAGTTACCTGTACTACTTACCTGTACTAGTTACCTGTAGTATTTGTTTTTCTCCTGATTGTTGACTGATGTTGGTAGTTTACATATATTGTTTGTTTACCTGTACTAGTTACCTGTACTACTTACCTGTAGTATTTTTTTTCTCCTGATTGTTTACTGATGCTGGTAGTTTACCTATATTGTTTGTTTACCTGTACTAGTTACCTGTACTACTTACCTGTACTAGTTACCTGTACTAGTTACCTGTAGCATTTGTTTTTCTCCTGATTGTTTACTGATGCTGGTAGTTTACCTATATTGTTTGTTTACCTGTACTAGTTACCTGTACTACTTACCTGTACTAGTTACCTGTACTAGTTACCTGTAGCATTTGTTTTTCTCCTGATTGTTTACTGATGCTGGTAGTTTACCTATATTGTTTGTTTACCTGTACTAGTTATTACCTGTACTAGTTAGTTACCTGTAGCATTTGTTTTTCTCCTGATTGTTTACTGATGCTGGTAGTTTACCTATATTGTTTGTTTACGTGTACTAGTTACCTGTACTAGTTACCTGTACTACTTACCTGTAGTATTTTTTTTCTCCTGATTGTTTACTGATGCTGGTAGTTTACCTGTATTATTTGTTTACCTGTACTACTTACCTGTACTAGTTACCTGTACTAGTTACCTGTAGCATTTGTTTTTCTCCTGATTGTTTACTGATGCTGGTAGTTTACCTATATTGTTTGTTTACCTGTACTAGTTACCTGTACTACTTACCTGTAGTATTTTTTTTCTCCTGATTGTTTACTGATGCTGGTAGTTTACCTATATTGTTTGTTTACCTGTACTAGTTACCTGTACTAGTTACCTGTACTACTTACCTGTACTAGTTACCTGTACTAGTTACCTGTACAAGTTACCTGTAGCATTTGTTTTTCTCCTGATTGTTTACTGATGCTGGTAGTTTACCTATATTGTTTGTTTACCTGTACTAGTTACCTGTACTACTTACCTGTACTAGTTACCTGTAGCATTTGTTTTTCTCCTGATTGTTTACTGATGCTGGTAGTTTACCTATATTGTTTGTTTACCTGTACTAGTTACCTGCACTAGTTACCTGTACTAGTTACCTGTAGCATTTGTTTTTCTCAGAATTGTTTACTGATGCTGGTAGTTTACCTATATTGTTTGTTTACCTGTACTAGTTACCTGTACTACTTACCTGTACTAGTTACCTGTAGCATTTGTTTTTCTCCTGATTGTTTACTGATGCTGGTAGTTTACCTATATTGTTTGTTTACCTGTACTAGTTACCTGTACTAGTTACCTGTACAAGTTACCTGTAGCATTTGTTTTTCTCCTGATTGTTTACTGATGCTGGTAGTTTACCTATATTGTTTGTTTACCTGTACTAGTTACCTGTACTACTTACCTGTACTAGTTACCTATACTACTTACCTGTACTACTTACCTGTAGCATTTGTTTTTCTCCTGATTGTTTACTGATGCTGGTAGTTTACCTATATTGTTTGTTTACCTGTACTAGTTACCTGTACTACTTACCTGTAGTATTTTTTTTCTCCTGATTGTTTACTGATGCCGGTAGTTTACCTGTATTATTTGTTTACCTGTACTAGTTACCCATACTACTTACCTGTACTAGTTACCTGTACTAGTTACCTGTAGCATTTGTTTTTCTCCTGATTGTTTACTGATGCTGGTAGTTTACCTATATTGTTTGTTTACCTGTAGTTCCTGTAAGATAGTATCACATAGCTTCTGAAGTAGTTCCCATTTCTCTCTCGACTTATTGCCCTTTTCAATACTTTGACACTGCTCTGCACATAATTTTGAAAGACTTTTTGTCCTGCACAAGAAAATAAATAAAACATGCTGATTTTTCATATCATTATATATATATATATATGAATATTTTCTCTTAAACTATCGAGATTGACAGTTAACTTCTTTTGTTTTTATATCATATAAATTAATATCATGGTAATTAATTTCTGAATAAAATGAATTGACTGATATTTGACATTAATGAATCTATGTGTCCTGTTTTTCCTAAATTACCACTACACTTCCACTTGCTTTTATATGAACAATGACAGAAACTTTCCGATATCCTTGTTTTCAAAGCTGCAGTTTATCTTAGATAAATATGATCTTTAAAATATGAATGTTAATGGCATAGTTCTTTTGCTACAAATCTTGTATGAATTTGTACCTGTTTCGATTCTGTGATATAGAATGTGCTAGTTCATCCAGCAGACACCCCATCTTCCGCTCAGCTGCTGCATCAGTGACTTCCAGCTACAAGGTAAATTATGCTGATGTGTTCTGCATTTACCACGACGTATTAAATACCAGGGGACTTAACTCAAAATAGAGAGGTATGGTTTTTCCCAATTGATGATATACATGTAAATATTTATGTATTTGCAATGGAACTGATTGAGAAGTAGAATTGGTTGGGTTGTGTAATAGTGAGCTGTAAGGATTTAGAAAAGGGGTAGCGCGGGTATTGATCATGGAACTGCAGAAGTACCTAATTTGATGATATCAAATTTTAGGGTATTACTGCTTTTTGGCAAATTAGCACAATGATGAATGGACACCCACAAAAATTACTATAGAAACATATAAGTGTACATGTACAAAAATAACTAACATCTGTACAGGAGCAGCAAGTTTTTGTGTGTTAGCCCTGGGGACTTCTAGAAAGAAAAGCAGAAGAATCAAATTACTGCTAATATATTTACATATACAGTAGCTGATACAAAGGATAGTTTAAATGCAGTTGAAAATAAATTAACAATTTTTAAACCCAATTTCCGTTCTCCTCTCCATGTACATTGTCTTCACATGTAAGCTCAAAAGAACTCCATTTTTAATTATTTTATTTAATGTGTTATATTTCACAAAAGCATAATACACAATTGTCATATTTCCCCCAAACTTAATGCTTTATCTGAAGCCGTAAGTTGCCATCACTGAATTAATCAGTAAATCCTTTTAATTTATCACTTCACTTGATTACCTTTACCTGTTTTTTCACCTGGGAAAGTTCTTCCTGTTTGAAGTTCACAGTTGCTTCTAGGTTACATATAACATCCTCTTTCTTTGCAAGTAGATGCATTAGTTCTTCAACTTTTGCCTGAAAATTCAATATTAATAAAAACAAACCTTTCTGACAACCCCCAACTGCTGATTCTAAAGAAGTTATGTCCCTTATTAAATATATACATGTAGGTAAAAACAGAAACATTTACGACAATAAATGGAAGATTTTGACTTGTGCTAGGTCCTGGCTTCTAACAATGAGTCGATTCATGATATCATGTTGCCAAAACACATCTTTAGTCTCTTTTTCCACTAATTCTTAATTAGACATCCTCTCCTTAAATGATCATTTTGATAGTTAGTAAAGCACTTTGAACAAAATTTAACTTTTTGTTAACTCATGACTGTGTTGAGAAATGATCTATTTATTACAAATTACATTATAATGGACATCAATAACTCTACACCATTTCTTTTAATAAACAGAAGATATTTTATAGTAATACATTTCACTTCTGTGATGGAATATAAATTTTATTGCTGCCACCTGAAAGGAACAGACATGACATGACATGTAAATATGAAATAATTGGCAAAAAATGATAAAAAATAAAACAAATCTGAGTCCAAAAACACGTCAGGAAAGGAGAAATTTCTAAGATGTTGGATCACTCTTATTCTAATTCAAAACTGTACCATTTTAAATTGGCCAATATACACAATATCCATGTGTTCTATACTGTACTCTGGAATCACTGCTAAATTATACCTGTATTCGATATTAAGGAAAGCCAATAGCCTACGCTTCTTCAACATTTACTTCATTTGTCCTCAAATAGAAAAATTGATGAAGTTCAATGCAGTTGATTGAAACCACTATTCTAATCAGCCAAAACAAAAAAAAAACAAAAAAAACAAACAAACAAGAGGTCTATAGGGCTTGTATCACTTGCTTGGTTTAGTTCACTGAAATTGCTTCATCTAAACAAAATGAAAAGCATTAAAAAGATTGATATCTTCTTCCCCTATTAGGCCCCACTCCTCTGTACCATAGGGATAAGATGCATTGTTTACACAAAACAAACATTCCTTTATCCAGAATATCAATAATTTTAAAGAACTTGCTCTATTTTTCCAGATGTGACACATCCCTCCTACCCCAAGGAGAGCAGACCCACCTTCCATACAAAATTGATTCCTCTTCAACTAAAAATGCTTCAGATTAACTGGGATATTCCTACAGCAGAAGGAATTTAAATAGTTTATTTATTTCCCCTTTTGGGCCCTCCCCTCCAGTCTCAGTTTTCTTTTTATTTTCCTTCACCTCAAAATGCTTCAAACCAATTTTAGGCAAAATCCAATCATTCCCAAGGAAGAGTAAGGTTTTGAATAATTTGCTCTGTATCCTCTGTTTGGCCCCACCTCTCCTGCCCCAGGATCCGAGATCAACCATTTATGCAAAATTGATTCTGCTTCACCCATTAAAGTTTCATATCAAGGGGCTGAAACTGATAGTTCTTACAGGAGGAGTAAGATTTTAAAGAATTTGTTCTACTTATCTATAGAACACCACTCCTCCTGCTCAAACGGGCCAATTCCAACCATTTACACAAAATGATTCTCCTTCACCCCCAAGAATGCATCAGACCAAATCTGGTCAAAATCCAATCATTCTTACTGGGGAAGTTGGATTTGAAAGAACTTGTAAAATTTCCCCATTTGAGCACCAGCCCTCATGCCCCCTGAATGAAGACCTACCATTTATACAAAATTGATTCCCCTTTCCTGGAAGATATTTCTGAACAAATTGTTCAAAGTCATTTACGAGTAATAATTACCGGTATTTGCAGATAAATTTGACAGACGGATGGTCATACAATATGCCATTATAATCATTACTGGAAAAAGTTGTTTCTTCATCAGTGATAATGTGACTTTTTCTCAAATTCATAATTTCTCATATCAAATTCATAATTTCTTACATCAAATTCACATACTGTACTACCTAATTCATAATTTCTAATAACAAATTTATAATTTCTAATAACAAATTCATAATTTCTGACATCAAATTCACATGCTGTATTACCTATTTCATAATTTTTTGTATTTCATGTGTAAAAATGTAATATTATATTTTGCCTAACTTTGAAAATTCTGTAAATGTTGTACTTCACCTGCGATTTCTTCTGATATTGTTCGATTTCTGTTTTGTAACTTTCCCGTAAGTGTGTTTCCACATCAATAACAGAAATTTCTCTCTGAGTTAGATGATGTTCAGCTTCCTTCAATTTCTTCTTCACCACCAATATCTTATTCATTGCTTCTTCTCTTTCTCTGGTTATTGATTCCTGAAAGTTTTCAAAATGGCAAACAAATTTTAACATCTGACTGTTACAGTATTTGTCAAGCATTACGCCCACGATTTTGTCTCTTTCTGTTCAATGGTAATACTGTCTTTTTCAATGTTGTGTAATAAGCCCATTCCCTGACTTTGAGTCAGAGGGAGTTTGCTGATCTCTTGCTTAGTTCAGAAAAAGTAGTCCTCTCAACTGTTAATTATCATAAATATGTAAAAAAAAGAAATGAATTTTCCCAGCTGCAGTATACCACAATGTAGATATCAATGTATCAGGTGATTGAGTAGATAAGTATTTTTTCAGTATCATATGGGTTTACAATGGATGTCAGAATGTGAGAAACAGTGGAGTATATTGTGGGTGAAGTGGTCTACAAGTATAATTGGATGAGTCTCTGTAATTCTCCTGTATCTAAAGTTAATGTTTGGCCCAGAGGTAGAGCTTAAACACTGCTACTTTAATTAAGGATCAGTTGGTTCCTTTCTGTCATTTGTCTGGATAACAACAAAAATGCAAGGCAACTGAACAATCAGGAAAAACTGAGAGTCAATCACAATAAGCCCAGGATAGTTGAGTCCTCTTTCTTTAGGAAACATCTACTGATTTTGCCAAAACAGGTAGGTTCTTCAGGTCCTGTTGGAGTGAAATCAGTAGATATTTCCTAATTAAAGAAAACTCAACTGATCTCAAGGCTGTTGCATCTGCTACTGTTAATCTGAACATTTTTCTAAGGTTTTAACTTTTGTGGTTCTCACCAAATGCTGAAAGCAAGAAAAACAAATGTTTCATTGATATGACATTTTCAAAACATCTTTTTTTGCAATTTTATATCCACCCTTGAAAATTTATGAAAAACGAGAACTCTGAATAATAACATGAACAGGTATTGACCTGCCATCTCCTGCTTCATCAAGATCTGCTCAATTTAACAGCTGACAATCCACCAATATTGATATTTACAGTGTTTTAACAATTAACAATACTTTCTGTAAACAGACACATTTCAGTGGTAATCTTATTTGTCTGCTTTTTGCACTGATGACAGTTTCTGTATGTTGACTTACCGTACAGCTGGTAGTTTTCGTGGGTAAAATTTTCACCATTTTCTTTTAAAATTATCAAATCATATTTTAACAAATCAAAGTTTCATGCTATTGATGTAAAAGGACATCTTATACACATATGTCCCATTATTTCACATGCTTGATTTTCACAATCACTTTAATGTACTGTGAAATAGCAAAAATATAATTCCCGCAAAAATAACTGACTATATAGTATTTTGCTAATTACTTTTGTGGATGGGCTTGTGCTAATTTGCCACAAAAGTATATTTAATGTATTAATAAGATTTTAACATTGAATTTTTTAAGTACTATACCTCCAGCTGCTGTATTTTTTCCTGTAATTTCATCTCTCTAGCAATAAACACTTCATTATTTAAACTGTTGGTACAGGAGTGTCCATCTTTGAATCCATGTTGATTACTAAGCATGTCTTGACTTGAACTCTAAAAGAAAAAAAAAAAAAAAAAGATAAATAAAATGAACCAATAAATGGAGCGGATTCTACCTGTGGCTCTATGGTAATCTCTAGGCCTGCCAACAAATCTGATCACAGATATAGTAGTTTAGGATTTATAGTGTCTCAGATTATAAAATCAGAGTAAATAGGTAAATAACTGAACTATGATTTGACATATTTTATGAATTGATAAATCAACTTTTAGACCATTTAATCAAAGGTCTGAAGAAATATTTGTTGCTTTGAAAAGAATGAGGAACAGAATTGAAAGTTTGAGCTATAGAAAAGATAGAAAATGAAACAGTGGCTTGTAATGATGAAAAGGAATGAGGGAGTGGTTTGTTACTAAGGGAAGGAAAGAGGGAGTGGTTTGTTACTAAGGGAAGGAATAAGAGCGTGGCTTTGTACTATGGGAAGGAAAGAGGAGTGTCCTTGTTATAATGAAAAGTACTGAGGAAGTGGCTTGTTACTATGGGAAGGAAAGAGGGAGTGGCTTGTTACTAAGGGAAGGAAAGAGGGAGTGGCTTGTTACTAAGGGAAGGAAAGAGGGAGTGGCTTGTTTTTAAGGGAAGGAATGAGAGTGTGGCTTTGTACTATGAAAAAGAAAGAGGGAGTGTCCTTGTTATTATGGGAAGGAAAGAGGGAGTGGCTTGTTATCATGGGAAGGAATGAGGGAGTGGCTTGTTATAATGGGAAGGAAAGAGAGAGTGGCTTGTTATCGTGGGAAGGAATGAGGGAGTGGCTTGTTATAATGGGAAGGAAAGAGAGAGTGGCTTGTTATCATGGGAAGGAATGAGGTTTGTTACTACAGGAAGGAATGACAGACTGGGTTTTTACCTTGGTAATCAACTTCTGTACCAGATACGTTGAAGGTTTATACATTTCTGGTTTTTTTTCCAGTTCCAGCACAGCTGCACAAAGAATTACCTCACAACATTTACAATCCGCCTGTTAATGAAGAACATGGCTGATATATACTTATATATATGTATAATATACATAACATACTGGTCTAAGATTTTCTCTTTTCTTTACCCAGTTTCCTGTTTTTATTGGAGCTGTATCTCCTATTGCTCACCAATAATACCAGGTAATTATGATTTCAAGGTCTTTCTAGGATGAATTTGAATATTCCACCCATTATTTCAGTTTGAAAATGATAATTGATATTTAGCATAATTTTTCGAGAAACTTATTTCTGATGAGTAGAATATTACATTTATTTATTTATTTATTTATTTCAATTTTCATTCATTTCTATCTGCAACCAATTTTTTAAATAAAGTACTCAAGGAATTCTATGGTATTCCATAAACTTCAGCAATAGCTTTTTTGAGTGTGATCCTATGTCTACATCACACAATATTTGATGTTTGGTCTTTTTTTCCGAGGAGCAGACATTTATCATACCTTCTCTATAAGATTACAAGTGTACAATGACTATATATAAACAGTAAGATGTTTTTACAACAATTTACTTTCTCTGTTACTGTGAGTAGTGTTTTCTAGACAATGTTCAAATTTGTTACACGTGAGTAACAAAGGTTCGTACATACAGATAAAATACCCTCAAATCACATTGTGCAAAGCAGTATATCATACACTTTATATAGGATTATATAGGGGCTCAGTGAGGGAAATTATATTACTTTGTAAAATGCAGAATATCATTAAATCCGACTTCGTAGAAAGTGGAGTTTACTGTCATTAGTTTGTTCTTTATCAGTAGCATCACATCTTTAGGTCCCATGCTCTAATGAATCACATATAGTGTTACTAAAGGCACAACTTTCTCATCTCTCTATATGTACCTCCTTAGCGTTCAGAATTAGAACAATATCATAGATTGTTTGTTTCTAACACCCAAATCAACACGGGTCATTTTGATGCATGGCCTCCTTTCAGCAGCTGGTGGAAACCTCACTGAACAACATATGGGAGGCCTGTTACATGCCATCTTTAGAAATTGGGTAAATGGGTCTCGTCTAAGGACACATCTTGCCAGCATAGACTGGTCTGTTTCAAAGTTTTCTGAGAGACACAAACCAGTATGGGCAAGGAATGTTGCACCATACACTTCAGATCTACACCTGATTACATTCAACACTCTTCTGACATCACACATGTTGTTGAAGAACATACCATTTCCTCGGTAACTGTGGATTTTCCGCAAAGGGACCCTCTCTTGTGTACATGATGTGGATCCAAATACCATCTGGGAACACAAAACCTGGTACCATCACCTGAACAGGTCTGTAAATATAAGTACACTGTACATGTTAATCGTTCATTCAAAACTGTAGAGAAACTTGTTTCTTGTTGGATATTCAAAGATACCAATATTGTACATTAAATGCGGGTCAAAATCTGTCATGTTCTTTTGTAATTGGATCAGCAAGCCACAAGTCCAATATGTCTTCGTTGATTCTTGAATGATGTCAAAACAAATTAATTGTACTGAGCAGACTATTAGATTTATGTTCTGGCTGATTTGAAACATTAAATATCCATCATATTCTAATATTGCAAGGCTAGGAACTGCTTTGAACTCTTTTTTCATTTCAGGCAGATTGTTTACCTCTGTCAGACTAGTTTCCATGACATCAAACATGGAGATATCCATGGAGGAGTTGACAAGCTTTGCCAGATCTATAGCTGCCATAAGTACAGATACCTCCATCGGAGTCAGAGAAAATAATGCAACTGGTTTCCTCTGCTTTGCTCTTTTCTCTTCCAGAGCATTCTCTAGTGACCTGTAGGACCCTGACTTCATCAGTATTTCATATAGAGTCTGGTTACACAGGATGGCCTGAAATAAATAACTTTGACCTTACAATACTTGATTGACCTTGACAATGATAGTTTTCTGTTTCTTTAATTGAAGAACTATAATATGGCATCAACTCTACAATTTTCAACAAATAATCACAACAGTTTGAGAACAACTTTATGATAAATTTTTCCTTGTTTGTATGCAAAATGCAACTTTCTGATTCATCAATTTTTTTCTTTTCTTTTCTTGACGAAAAAGAAAATATGTAGCTCCACCAACTTGATGATGACAGCAGGGGTCAACAGTAACATGCCACCTTGTTGTGGGCCTGATGGAATATCTTGTATTGAAGAAGTTAAGCAGGGATGTCCTGTTTCATCTCTACTATTCTCTGACAATGTAAGGCTTTGTACCCAAAGACTGATGTCATTTGGTCAGTTTATGTCTAGAGTAAACAATGCAAGTGACTTTTGTAAAATGGAAAACATTGCTGAAAGAGCAGTGATTCAGTATTTACATAAGAAGGGTCTAGCAATACTAGTACTAGGGAATGATGCCCCTTCATATGCTACAGTGAAAACGTGGGTAGTGGAAATTAAGTGCAGCAGGCAGAGCCTTGGGGATGACGCCCATTCTGGAAAGCCTGTCACTGTTGCTACCCCAGAAAAGGTCAATAAAGTTCATGATATTGTTATTGCTGGCAGGTGAGTTACAGAGAGAAATAAGGTCAGTACAGCAAGGATTTCACAGGAAAGAGTACCTTCCATTCTTATGGAAGAATTTGAAATGAAAAAGCTCTCAGCTTGTTGGCTACCAAGACTTCTGACAGAAGCACGTCAGGCGGACTTTGTTGCATGTTAATCTGAGCCTTTTAGAGGCAGATTTTGCTAACTTACTGTAGAGGTTTGTGATTAATTGTGGGTCCATCATTTCACCCCATTGGCCAAAACAACAATTTAAACAAAGGAAGCTTCCAAGTTCATCACAGTCAAAGAAGGCATAGACTGTTCCATCAGCTGGAAAAGGTTGACCTTGGTTTCCAGGGGTTCTGATGGTATTCTGATGTTAGATTACAGGCAAAAGCTTCAAACAATCAATGGCCCATATTATACATCACTTCTTAGGCAGTTACAAGAAAATATCAATCTCAAGCGCTGCAGAAAACTCAGTAAATTTGTTGTTCTTCCAGGACAATGCCCCTGTTCACAAGCCTGTCATTGCCATGTCTGCCATTAACAATTGTGGTTTTGAATTGATTGAGCACCAGCCTTACTCGCTTGATCTTGCTCCATCAGACTTTCATCTATTTCTAAAATTGAAAAAGGCCATTTTTTGTACCCACTTTCAATCAAATGATGATGTTATACATGCAATGGAGGACTTTCTGAATGGTCAAGATAAGGACTTCTTTAAAAATGGCATCGAGGCTCTAAAACATCGCTGGCAAAAGGATTAGAGATTAGAAGAGGATCAAGTTGAAAAATAATGCAATATGTCTGCCAAATGTCAAACCCTTAGATATGAGACTCACAACTTATCAATCAGTATGTATCAATTTGTTTTTGAACATATTTAAGAAATTAATTATAAGTTGTGATAGGAATACTTTTTAGTTTCATGCTGGTATGAAAGAAAAACCTTTTCGCAAACTTAAAATGAGTTCGCTACCTGTCTAGGTTAAGAGACAAGGAAATCTCACACTGGTAAAAAGCATGGATTTACCTGTCTAGGGTCAGCGACAAGGAAATCTCACACTGGTAAAAAGCATGGACTTACCTGTCCAGGGTAAGAGAACATACGGTCACTGCTGGTTGAAAGCAGTTTGTATGATATTGCTCTCTCACATAAAGTAAGCTGATTGGATTTACGCCAGGCTGCCAGACAGTGCACTTATTGCTGTCTTACACCATACAGAGCTTAATGATCAAGTATGCCAAATTAAGGTGATATAAATTATAAACATTTGATAATATTTCATTACCGTCAGATTGAGTTCTTCATTCACAGCAGCCATTTGATCAGCTGTACTACTGTTTAGCATAGGAAAGGCAAGGACACTAAACTCACTGTAAAATAAAAGGTTATTACTGATGAAAGGTTGGATAAATTGACATAAACCACAAAATTTGAGAGAAATATCTTCTGCGATCATGTGATTTCATGATTATAACAAAAATATATACTTGGCTAGAAAATGTGAGTTACCTCCCATGATTTAAAAATATTGATAAAGACATATAGATATGAGCCCAATATTGAACTTCATAGAGAATTTTATATCTCTGGCTATAACTGGATTAGAGATGGCATTTTCCACAAAGAATACAGTAAAAGTGTATATCACCATCAGACTAACATTTTGTGGTTTTCCAAAAATATTCAATTTCTGAGTTGATGAAACAGAAATAGAAATGTAGAATTACTTTAGAAACTCTGATGCAATATTCTTGGATAGATCATCTGTAATGTACTCTGCAGCATGGCGAACATCTCTGTATCGTCTAAAACAATAACATTAATGCTCATTATAGAATCTGAAATGAAATTTTGACAGGGGTCAAATTTAGGGTCATAGTCATTCCTTCACCTTTCACATCCATCTTAATTCTATGACATTGTAAGTTGGTAAGATGAGATTAAAATATCAAACAGTTTTGTCATCTAAGCAAACATCAGGACAAATAAGACACTATACACCCCACAGTTCTGTAGAGGAGGCAATTTCTAAACCCTGAAAAATGGTTTAAAGTAGTTCTTGTGTTGGAAAGTATTTGATTACTCTTAGATATAAAACTGAAAATCACCATTTCATGCTTTACAGTTTTGTAGAAGAAGTTTTATGTAAGGTCACAACACTTCTATGCCAACTAGACTGTAGTTATCACGTCCAGAACACAATTAACATTTGTGGACAGGTATAGGTTATATACAGGTGGTCTTTATGCACAGGTATTTGTTACTTATATGCAGCTTTTATAAACAGGAATATGTTATACAAAGGTGGTCTTTACAGACAGGTAATGGTTTCATAGAGGTGACCTTGATAGACATATAGAGGTTGTCTGTATAGACAGGTATTTGTCATACAAAGGTGATCTTTACAGACTGATAATTGTTATATAGAGGAGGCCTTTATAGATAGGTATTCAATATATAGAGGTGGTCTTTATAGACAGGTATTTGTTACATAGTGGTGGTCTTTATAAACAGGTATTTCTTACATAGAGGAGGCCTTTATAGATAGGCATTCAAAATATAGATGTGGTCTTTATAGATAGGCATTTGTCATACAGAAATCATCTTTACAGACTGATATTTGTTATACAGAGATGGTCTTTATAGACAGGTTTTTGTTACATAAAGGTAGTCTTTACAAACAGGTATTTGCTACATAGAGGTGATCTTTATAAACAGGTATTTGTTATACAGAGATGGTCTTTATAGACAGGTTTTTGTTAGAGGTGGCCTTTAAAGCTTGAATAACAGAAAACGGCATATGGAATATGGAGGATCATACAGAGGTTTCCAATCTTATGAGATTTTTTATACAAGTATCAGATTTTATTTTCGTTTTACTGAGACTTCCTCTATTGAATTAATAAATCTGACAGGAAATTAAAATAAATGTAACATTATGTTGATTATAATACTTAAATATTAAAAGCACTCATAAGATTATAACGTTATAGAATTGACACAAAATCTAAATCTATAATATTCACTATTTATTTGGTGATGTCACATTACATACAGTGTATGACACAATAAAATATGATGTCATAATGGAAACAATGGAAACCTGCAACCAATCAAAACTCTGCTAAATATAAACTTTATTTATTTTACAACAATTGCGAAACAAGTTATGTCAACTTATACTAATCACTCTTGTTGGCCCGGATGTAAGCGCGCGAGGGGTGGAAACAATGGTCCGGCAAACGTCCGTTCCGGGAATCGAACCCCGGTCGGCTTGGTGAAAGGCGAGTGCGTTAACACTGCGCCACCGGACCACCCTCTGCTAGGTCAAATTATGTGTGTGTCATAACAACAATATATATAGCCAGTGTTATTACCGTAGTTATGCAAAAAATATATTTTGTTTGCAAAACTGAACTTATGTTATTAATGTCAAACAGAACTTACTCAGACTTTAGCAGGTGGAAGTATTTTGTGGTGAGTTCTGGTCTCCTTTCTATTGCTCTGATCCAAATCCCACTCATCTGAATCAAATACCCACAATATCTTAAGCACAAAAATGATATTTCAATTCATTTGGAAACAGAAAATCTCAATGAAAAATCATACATTTAGACTCAGTACCAGGTTTAGAAGTGACATTCTCACAGTTTAATTTTTTCTATCTGTTGACTATTTTTTTTTTTTTTTTTTTTAAATATTTGTCTTTCAAAACAAAATGTCTATCACTATGAATTTAAGAATTCAATGAGATTTCCTAAACTTTTATGAGTAAAACTGATCTTACAATACAATGTTTATGTTAATACCCCAACCCCTCTCCTCCTACCTCCAACTCTGCTTACATCATGCGTACATCTGTACATAAATACATGACATATTTTTGTTGCAGCATTTTAGATGTTTTAATATGTAAAACAAGATTCAACATTGAATCAGATTTCTATATCTACCATGTGGTCAATTTCACTTGGTTTAGGGACAGCATTCCGGTCTCGGTCCAGTTGTAGAAAAGTGAAATTAACGCCTGCTGCCAGATCTTCGTCGCTGAGGTCTGACACCCACAATCCTTTCACATACAGCTGTCCCGACAGACTCTCGTCCAATAACAAACTACCTGGTGTAGGAAAAATAAGACCTATATTTTCTGAACACTGATCAGATGAGAAATTTGCTTACTTAAAGAACTTAGTTACACCAAATTAATATTTAATTACAATACTATGAACATGATGCTAGCCTTTTTTCTTTATCGACGAGAAAACCTAGCTTATCCTTCGGTTATGATATCAAAATTCAAAATACCAACAGTGACAGCTCTTAATTCATTGTTTATGTCAAAAAAAAATTTTTGTTTCAAGATCAATAAGAAATGCTTTTGTGTTTAAAGTTATCAGATTTGATATTATGTTTCACTTAATTTGCAATAAATTCATTTAAGTAAATAATACAACATAATTTTTTCAAAGTAAACAGCCATTTTTCACTGAATTTTTCAATTACATTGTAAGCTGTACTTCCTACACATACCAAGTTGAGTTTTCACACTATCCACTGGAGGCTTTAAAAATAGAAATCTGGGAAGCTGTGAAAAAGTAAAATTGTATAAGAGTGAAAAAAATGAGGAAAGTAAGTAGAAAATTAAAAATGCAAAATCTGATTTTATTGATATCAAAATTATTATTTTTTGATCCCTGAGTATTCTGAAGTCCTGTCTAATCTGATCCCTGGATATTCTGAAATCCTGTCTGATCTAATCACTGAATAACCTGAAATCCTGTCTGATCTGATTCCTGGATATTCTGAAGTCTTTTCTAATCTGATCCCTGGATATTCTGAAATGCTGTCTGATCTGATTCCTGGATGTTCTGAAGTCTTTTCTAATCTGATCCCTGGATATTCTGAAATCCTGTCTGATCTTGTCCCTGAGTATTCTGAAGTCCTAGCTAATCTGATCCCAGAATATTCTGAAATCCTGTCTGATCTTATCCCTGAGTATTCTGAAGTCCTAGCTAATCTGATCCCTGAGTATTCTGAAATCCTGTCTGATCTTATCCCTGAGTATTCAGAAGTCCTGCCATATCTGATCCCAGAATATTCTGAAAACCTGTCTGATCTGATCGCTGAGTTACCTGAAATCCTGTCTCATCTGATCTCCGAGTATTCTGAAATCCTGTCTATCTAATCTTATCCCCAAAATGTTACCTGAACCCTGATTATTTTGTCATTCTTTCTAACATGACTCTGGGTATTTTGACCATGACAGAAAGATAAGAAACCATATATATATATATATATATAAAGTTGTAGATATCTAATAGGTACTTACAAACTTTTTCCAATCTTCAATCCCTGTAATAGTGGTACATGTATCAGTAGGCAGAACACTGGAACCAAGATAAATGACAGTAAAAAGTAATTAATGGCCTGCTGTATTACACTGTATGGCCAGCTATCTATTTCCAGAATCAGTTTTATGATTAGTTTTCAATATAATCCTTGATAGTCTTTTAACTTCACTTTTAATTTTTTTTTTCCATATTTTGTTTTCTACTTTTTCATCAATTTTTTTTACACTTACTAGCCATTCTTTTGTTCTTCTATACAATCACTTCTGTCACTTGTGAGTCTTTCTAGAAATAAAACAAAAGTTTTATTTAAAAAAATACCAAATGACAAAACAATAAAAAGAATGTGCAATTTGCATTCTTTCTCCTTCTGTTTGTAATATAAAATGACTTTTTTAATTCTGAATAAATGATAGATTTTGAAAAAATCTACAGCTTTAATTTGTGGAATGACAATAAAGAAAACAAATTCCCCTCAAAAATGGGATAGAAGATACTTGATTCTTTTTACATCATCCCTCAAGTTGCATGTATGTAGTGGAATTTTTTCTCTTAGTAATTGTTTTCACTGTACATTTGATAGTTACAATTACTAAGGGTGAGCTTCTGTGATATATATCTTTTAATAAAAGTCTGTTTTTCTATATTAAGGCTTATAACCTATATCCATAATCAAATATGTAATTGTGTTAATGATATGCATCTTATAAATCAAATGAATATTTCAATGTATAAATGGTTATTAATTAATGACAAATTCCTTCATTACATGGTCTTTTATCACTAAAACAAAAATTATACCTGTAACAACAACTGTTAGAACCTTTTCTCCAAATTCTTCATTATGTATCAGATCGAACCTCCATCGGTCATTGCATGTTTCCATGGTAACTAGGTGTCCATTCCTGACTAATGCTAGTGCTCCGACCTTTAACCCTTCTCCAAACTGACCAATGATTTCCTTACTTGATGATTTACCACTGTAACCAAGCAACAAGATTTTCTTATGGAGTTCAGTACAGCTGTTGATCAGAGTCAACTTGTTTTCAAATTGATTGTAAATTAATCGACCAAGAATGGTTTCCTCTCTTGTGTCAGAATTTACAAGGCAGGCTTTAAAGTTGTGATTGTTTCCTTCCTGAAATAAAGAGATAACAAAGAATTTAAATATTCCATAGTTACATTTCACAGTTCTTTCAACAGAGAGAGTACAAGTAAATTGAAGCTGTTCCTGTTTTTTAAACCTGGGTAAAATCCTTGTTATATTGTCACCATTGTAATGTCAGTCCTTGTTATACTGTCACCATTGTAGTGTCAGTCCTTGTTATACTGTCACCATTGTAGTGTCAGTCCTTGTTATACCGTCACCATTGTAGTGTCAGTCCTTGTTATACTGTCACCATTGTAGTGTCAGTCCTTGTTATACCATCACCATTGTAGTGTCAGTCCTTGTTATATTGTCACCATTGTAGTGTAAATCCTTGTTATACTGTCACCATTGTAGTGTCAGTCCTTGTTATACCATCACCATCGTAGTGTCAGTCCTCGTTATACCGTCACCATTGTAGTGTCAGTCCTTGTTATACTGTCACCATTGTAGTGTCAGTCCTTGTTATACTGTCACCATTGTAGTGTCAGTCCTTGTTATACTGTCACCATTGTAGTGTCAGTCCTTGTTATACTGTCACCATTGTAGTGTCAGTCCTTGTTATACTGTCACCATTGTAGTGTCAGTCCTTGTTATACTGTCACCATTGTAGTGTCAGTCCTTGTTATACTGTCACCATTGTAATGTCAGTCCTTGTTATACAATCACCATTGTAGTGTCAGTCCTTGTTATACTGTCACCATTGTAGTGTCAGTCCTTGTTATACTGTCACCATTGTAGTGTTAGTCCTTGTTATACTGTCACCATTGTAGTGTCAGTCCTTGTTATACTGTCACCATTGTAGTGTCAGTCCTTGTTATACTGTCACCATTGTAGTGTAAATCCTTGTTATACAGTCACCATTGTAGTGTTAGTCCTTGTTATACTGTCACCATTGTAGTGTCAGTCCTTGTTATACTGTCACCATTGTAGTGTCAGTCCTTGTTATACTGTCACCATTGTAGTGTCAGTCCTTGTTATACTGTCACCATTGTAGTGTCAGTCCTTGTTATACACCATTGTCACCATTGTACCATTGTGTGTCAGTCCTTGTTATACTCACCATTGTAGTGTCAGTCACCATTGTAGTGTCAGTCCTTGTTATACCATCACCATTGTAGTGTCAGTCCTTGTTATATTGTCACCATTGTAGTGTAAATCCTTGTTATACTGTCACCATTGTAGTGTCAGTCCTTGTTATACTGTCACCATTGTAGTGTCAGTCCTTGTTATATTGTCACCATTGTAATGTCAGTCCTTGTTATACCATCACCATTGTAGTGTCAGTCCTTGTTATACTGTCACCATTGTAGTGTCAGTCCTTGTTATACTGTCACCATTGTAGTGTCAGTCCTTGTTATATTGTCACCATTGTAGTGTAAATCCTTGATATACTGTCACCATTGTAGTGTCAGACCTTGTTATACTGCCACCATTGTAGTGTCAGTCCTTGTTATACTGTCACCATTGTAGTATCAGACCTTGTTATACTGTCACCATTGTAGTGTCAGACCTTGTTATACTGCCACCATTGTAGTGTCAGTCCTTGTTATACTGTCACCATTGTAGTGTCAGTCCTTGTTATACTGTCATCATTGTAGTGTCAGTCCTTGTTATACTGTCACCATTGTAGTGTCAGTCCTTGTTATACAGTCACCATTGTAGTATTAGGCCTTGTTATACTGTCACCATTGTGGTGTCAGTCCTTGTTATACCATCACCATTGTAGTGTCAGTCCTTGTTATACTGTCACCATTGTAGTGTCAGTCCTTGTTATATTGTCACCATTGTAGTGTCAGTCCTTGTTATACTGTCATCATTGTAGTGTCAGTCCTTGTTATACTGTCACCATTGTAGTATCAGTCCTTGTTATACCATCACCATTGTAGTGTCAGACCTTGTTATACTGTCACCATTGTAGTGTCAGTCCTTGTTATACTGTCACCATTGTAGTGTCAGTCCTTGTTATACTGTCACCATTGTAGTGTCAGTTCTTGTTATACTGTCACCATTGTAGTGTCAGTCCTTGTAATACTATCACCATTGTAGTGTCAGTCCTGAAAATAGTTAAAAATGTTTCTACTTGCATAATATATGCACCTCAAAATTCAGTCAAATCGACCTCCAGGAGCCAAGAAATTGACCTTGGAATGTTCGGCTGATGTGTCAGACCAATAATGTAAAGTCCAAAACTTCAGAAGTATTCTCTTCAAAATTCATTTTCATCTCACTTACTAACTTTTAATTACCATCTGTTTAATTATAGGTACAATATAAGTGAAAAATGTCTGTGCACTTCTTGTTTGTTTTATTTGAAATCAGGACATGTTATGGTTTACTGTTATACAGGGATGCAAGTAAAACATTTACTTGTGTTAATGACATCATATCAAAAAATAGTTCATTATATTCATATAAGATAGTCCATGATAGGCATATTGACTAGAAAACTGACTTACCTCACAAAAAATAATTTCATTTTTGGAGATCAATGAAACTCCTCTCTGGTTTACAGTGTCGTATATGCCGTCATGCCAATTCTGGACGAGTTCCCGCACACCTTCCCATGATCCCCAGGTAGATGCATACTTTGCTGTCAGTGTCAAAGGAATATTTCTATTCTTTTCAGAGTGGCTGCTTTTGGTTGTCATGTTTCCAACAGCCAAAAATCAGTGTTTATTCTGAAAACTGAAAACATAATTCCAACAGACTTTGCAACATCACATAATCTGAGACATTTTGGTAATTCAAGGATTACTTCAAGACGTTTCAGAACATTTTATTAATTTTTCAGTTTTAAAAGAGTTAACCATTACATTATGTTGACTTGATGTTACATGAGGCAATTGCAAAATTAAAAGTAAATAGATAAATAAACACAATGTACACATAATCATGTAGCAGGTGAAATCTATTTTCAAGGCGAATGCATATGACTTGTTACATTTTGCACTTTTTAAATTAAGCATCTAAATATTAGATAATGATTTAATCTCCTTAACCATAAAAGGAGTACCATATTATATTTAAAAATCAGATTAATTTCTAATGAGTTTCTGCGTTCTTTCACATCTGTCTTACCTGTTAGTGCATATTACATATGAATGTGCCTAGCTACAGGATCTATTCAGGTCTATCTAACATAATCACGACATAATTTAAAAACTTGTATGTATATATTTTAAAGAAGGGATACATCTATCTAACATAATTGGAATACACGTATCACAAACGGATAAAACATGTGCCATAAAAAAATATCCAAATGCCATTGTAAAGTAACGTTTAATTGTGGAAAAGTGTTTTCTTTCACTTTCCATATACTTTACCTACAACTTCCGGAATGACGTACATCGATAGTTTGCTGTCATTAGTTACACGTGGTTGTTTCTTGATCATTCTGAAATAAAAACGTAGCACATAATTGTTATACACGTGGTGATAAATTTCAACAGCCTATGTAAATGTTTAGTGTTTTATTTGTAATAAATGTCGTCATTCTACTTCCGATAACGTAATGTCTTAATATCAACACGACCTTGTTACTAGTATGAAATTCCTACACGTATAGAATTAAAATAACTTTTTCGGGAAATAAAAGTTGAATTTTGTCGAACGGTTTGATTAATCAGCTCATATCCCCGATGATCAGCTCTTTTTATATATGTCATTAACAGGAACCTGGCATTTTACATCAAAATATGCGGAACTATTTTGTAGAGGTCACGTGCTATTGTTTTGGTGTGGTGATGAGGTCATTTTGTCAACAACTCGAAACTCATACCCATATGACGTGAATTTTCGTCTTAAATCAACGCTATTTTTGGAACTTACTAAACAAATGCCAATGTCATTTCATTTTTTGTAGCCAGAGTGACTTGACATACACTTAATAACATGGAGGACATTGTGTTCAACGTAAAATTTGAAGGAGAAAGTCTAGCCCCAGAAATATTTTGTTTGCCAGCGCAAACAAAATGGATGGACCTAGAAGCAATGGTAAGAGCGGAAACGGATGAAATCTTGTAAATTTTATTCAGAATGTTTATCTGGTCAAGACTATATAGACATCATTCTAAGTTATTGTCAATTGGAAATACATTTTGTGTTGTCATAGTGTTTATCAAGATATTTTCAAAGCTAATCGATTTTCTTTTTTCTGCTGACCGTGAGTGAGAATTTTTACCATGACATAATATCAAGCTATAGCAAAGAGAGGTCATGGTCATATGGCAAAGCCTATGATCATAGCGAGACAGCTCCAAATACTTATATCTTGCGTCAGAACCGCCGGTTAAATCATTTAAATCTATAGAAGTAAATGGTTATTTATGGCATCAAAGTCAACTGTGGGTCAATTACAATTTGCAGCTAGATCTAGAAGAAATGATTTTGTTAGTTACGTTTGAAAAGCATTAAATAAGATTCTAATGAGTAAAGGCAACATAGAATTCAACTGACAACCTTCAGGTTAAATTGTTTAAGTATCAGCACCTTTTTGTTTTTCGACATTATTTATTGATGATTTCTCAAATAATTAATTTGATTATGAAGATCTGCAACCATCTTTTTGAAATGAAACAAGTTTAGTGAAGTTTTTTACTGGAGTTGTAGTTGTTTTAATTTAATGCAATGCATGTTAAAAGTGTTGTACATGCAACATTATGAAGTACATATGTTTACCAGCCTGTTACAAAAATGTTTTATATGGTGCTTGGTGGTGTTCATCAACAAACCAAAGTCCAATATGACCTAAAGTGATTTACTTAATCAATATCCTTGTTTCTGAAGTGTTGTTAACATACTAAGATTGAAAAAGGAAAATTAACTAAAAAAAAAAGGCAAAATCAAAGTTAAAAGGAATTTCCCTTCAGAAAATGAAGGGATCATACTTTGAATAATTTATAAAAGACAAATTCATATGAAAAATTAATGTGAAAATTCATTTCAGTAATACTCATGAGTATGTTAAATTTGAAATTTGTCTTCTAGTAAATATGTACTTAGTAAAAATTCATTTTTTTCTCAGTTTAATCACAGATATTTCACAAAACATAAAATGTAGGGGTGAATTTACATATATGGACATTAAAATAAGTGGAAAGATCTAAAAAAAAAAAGGCTAGCTGTAATACTGTCAGGTTCCTGTTCAACTTGATTTATTTGAATAATGTATATGAACCATTTTGCATTTGTTACCAGGTGAAGGCTCAGTATGACTGTGAACATGTACAGATATTTTACATTGACCCAGAAGGAGACTATGTAAGTTAATACTATTGTTAAGATTTCAAATGTTATCTTAGGTGTATTAATCAACTGGTTTACATTTGGGAACAAAAGTATTCAGAATATATACTCAAGGGATAAGGTAATGCAGTGTAAACTAGATGATTCTAGGCAAGACACCGAGTATAATGTTCAGTGTTTCTAAATAAGAATGAAGATTAATCCATACAGAACAAACTGCAAAATCAACGATTTGTATCTGGTAAGTGATTTAGGAATAATTGAAGGGAACGGAAAGAGAACTCTAATCTGAAATCTGAAGCCTCGATTCTCTTTGGCTTGGAGTTTATGAGTTAGTTTATCCTCCTCATTGGGATGTTGGCCCAATTTTTCCAAAAAGGCTACTCTCAGTTGGGACCAAGTGCAGGAGGCTGGCATCATTGAAGCTGTCTTTCTAGCTGGTCCCACAAGTGCTCAATAGGTGATAGGTCGCGACTGTATGGTGGCCATTCCAGTGGATGGATATTGTTGTTAGTGAATAAGTCGCGACAGATCCTCGATACATGAGGCCGAGCATTATGCTGCTGGAATGTGAGATTGTTTTGCAGCAATAATGGGACAACATGGGGTTGATGGATTTCAACTCTATACCTAGTGGCAGTTAAATTACTCACTTCCACAACCAGCGGTGATTTAACTCCATGTGAGATTCCTCCCCACAACTACACAGCAATTGGCGAAACGTTCTCCATGATGCCTGTATACATGATGTCGAATGTCTGCTGGAAACAGGGTGAACCGCGACAGGGCAGTAGATAAAACCCGCCTCCACTGCCTCAGTGGGAATATTCTGGGGGTTGTGTGCCACCTTCCAAACCATACGATGCTGGCGACGAGAATTAGAAGGGGACAGATCTATAAATGGATGACATGCCTGCAGACTAACTTCTCTCAATTGTTTCCTTACAGTTTTTGCATGGATAGGATGAATATGAGTACCTATGTTATGAAGGGCAGATTCAGTGGCAGTAAGGTGCCAATTTTGAAAATGAGGGATATTTTGATGTCACATGTCCCTTAGACATCTAACAAGACATTCTATAGTGTAAAATGGACACTGAAATGTCTTGCAATCTGTATTTGCCTTTGAGCTTTCATAATCATTGCAATGGCCTGACCTCACTTAACTTCCATCAGCCATGACATTGTTTAATGCTATCAGAAATTAATCACAATATCAGAAAATGATGTGTCTTTATGAAGATGACCTAATGATATGATGAGCAGTGTATCTTAATGTCACAACACTGCATTGCATGAGATTTTCCCATTTTGTGCTTTCCCTGGAAGACATCGGGATGCAATAACGCAACATTCGATACTGGACCACATGCACTGTAACCTAGAGAGCTGCTTTACCAATTTTCATTATTTTTGAACACCGTGTTCGCAAAATATTGCAAATGATGTCATCCTGCATTTCTTTATTCCTTGAGCAAAGTTACATGTATGTAACAAGATTTGATTGGGTATAAAGTGTGCTGGTCATGTCTACAATTTAATTTTTTAATTTCTTTAGTCAGATTAGTTGTGTATGATATGCTGCATAAACTGTAGCAATATCAATGGAAACATTTCATTTTTTATTTGTTTACAAATTATTAGTTTTGAATTGGTATATTTCTAACACCTATGACTAAATCCTTTCCTCGTTAAGCAAATAATATAATATCAGAAGATAATAATGATTGAAATCGGCTCTAAACAAAAATGAGATTTCATGATTTTATCTTATCATATTACACAGTGTACAATGTATTTTTTTCTGTACTGTCCATATGTATCTGTTTCTGTACTATGTACATGACAAGTGTTTAAATGGCTATATCTGTGCTTGGTGAAAATAAGAATTTCCACTTTGATTAATCCATAGACAAACCAGGGTAGCAATTGTACTAAAGATATCACTATAGCCTAGTACAATGTATTTCACTATGAAATGAAGCTACATCTAATATTCAAATATCAAATTCACCTTTTTACACAGGTTGCCTTCTGTAGTCAAGAGGAATTTGAAGAAGCAATTCGTGTAAGTATCTATTGATGGTTTCAAATATGATTTATAAATTATGGTTACTTTACAAATTTGTAATTTTAAGAGACAAATAAATATGGATATGAAAGTATTGATGTAGAGAAAATATACTTTAAAAAAATCAGAAACTTCATTTTTAGGGAAGAGGAATGATACTTGAACAAAAATAGCATACAGAGTGTCAGTGTATGTACAGAAAAGTTTTAAACAGGAAGAAAATATAGAGTCCTCTCTGATTGTAAGAACATGATAAGTAGTTTACTTGTAATATTTCCTCATTGGTGTGAAAGGATCTTGCATTCATTGATAAACACTTTTTAGAAAATCTACATAAATTATATGTCTTTGTACATATACTGTGATTTTTTTTTGTAATAAGCCCAGAATGCCAGGATGTTCCTTCTTTTCCATAGTCAGATGTTCGGCTTAATACAGGACATTAAAATGATATATTTGTTTGTAAATTTAAGAACAGCAATATCTGTATGGACTGCAATTGTTTCCAGGTATGAGCTTATTTCAGCAGAAAATAGTGGATAAAAATGCAGGGATGATTTTATTCAAATAAATACAATAACACTTTGGACGAATGCTATATTGATGACTTGTAATAAGCCCACTGACGTTACAAAGATTTATAGTTCTAAGTTTATGACAGGATAAAGTGTATTTTTGTAAAATGAATGACCTTCACCCAATTTTAAGGTCACTGGGGTCAGATGTGTTGAAAGCTTTAAACAACCTCTTCGCAATGACCAAAATGCCTAGGGTACTGATAGTGGGCCTGTGGCATGCTGGGATTAAGGGCAACAATGTTTGTTACAATGAATGCCCTTGACTTACTTTCAAGGTCACTGGGTCAGATGTGTTGAAATCTTCTTCTCAATAACAAAAAGGCCCAGGGTGTTGATATTAGGCGTGTAGTATGCTAGCATAAAGGACTACAAAATTTGTTCATATTTTTGACATTGACTCACTATCAGTCACAATTATCAAATATGTCAAAATCTTTAAATGACTTCTTCTCAAAAACCAAAAGGCCCAGGGTGCTGATATTGGGCCAGTAGCATGCTGGGATTAATGGCTACCACACCTGTTAAAATTAATGACTTGGACTTATTTTCAAGATCACAGTGGTCAGATATGTTGAAATCTTTTAACAACTTCTTTTCAATGATCAAAAGGCCCAGTGTGCTGATAATGGGCCTGTATGATACTGGAATGGCAGACAACCAAGTTGTTAACATGAACGACCTTGATGAAGTTCAAGGGGTCAAATGTGTTGAGATCTTTAAATGATGACTTCTCAATAATCGAAGTTCCTATTGTGCTGATATTGAGCTTTTAGCATGTTGGGATAAAGGGTTACCAAATTTATTAAAATGAATGACCTCTACATATTTGCAATGTCATAGGGGGCACATGTGTAAAAATATTTAAATGACTTCTCAATAACCAATAAGTTCAGAGTGCTGATAATTGAGCTGAAGCTTGCTGGGATGAAAGGTTACCAATTTTGTTCATTTGATTAACCTTTTCTCTTTCTGAAGGTCACAGGGGTCAGATGTGTTAAAATTTTCAAACGACTTCTTGTCAGTACAAAATTTATTATACTAAATGCCCTGTCTCTAATACACGCCTCCCAAACCTTTCTCAGTGATTTTCCCCTACAAAGATCACAAAACTTACATTGTGCCAAATATCTACATATATACATATGCAGGAAAATAAAAAAATCCAATGAGCAATTAAATCCTAAAAGTGAAAAACACATGTCTATTTACATTTCTATAAAATCAACGAGATTAACATCTGGGAGTGCCGTATGAACTACTGTCCTAGATGTCATCACTTTCACTTTCACTTTCTGTTAGCTGGATTGGATTAGGCACATGCACACAAAAAAATTTCAAAAACATCATTTGTAGCCTGGAGGTCATTTCTTGTAAAGCCTTCAAATTCCTCATTATCAGAGTCTTGCTGGAAAATACCATCCTTGCTACCCTCGAGTGAATTTGTAATACAGCATTTTGAAGGATTTCCAGATAGTTATGGGAATAATACTGTCCCATACTGCCTTGACCCATGACACTGCTTTAGATGAGGCCTTGTGATTCCCCCTTTGGTTTTCTCCACAGGACCACTCATCATACAGCTCTCCAAGCTTGTCTTTAAAAAGTCCCATACTAACAGTTGGCTGTCAGTGTTATTAACACCCCAGATTTTCTTCAGCCAGTACTTCCTTCATTTGTCCATGACTTTGCTTCCACCCCATACATGTACATGACAATACTGCTTGGGATGTCACATTTGGGTAGGGGACAAATTCCAGGCAAGTGTAAGAGAGGGGCCATTTTGTGCCATCAGCATAAGCTGCTACAGTCACCGTAATTTTGTTCGTTATGCCCTGTACTATAGACACAGACTTCTTTGTTCCCCTTTTATGCTAATATTGACTGACCTGGCATGTCGAACCACACAGGTGTTTCTTCCATATTTGCAATAAACCTAGCAGGATACTCTCAGAGTCACTGCATCTGGAGTACAAAATTCAAAAACCTGTCAATGCAATCAGAGAAACAGTATGTTGTGCAACGCAGTTAGATTACCTAAATGAAATGTGTCTTTTATTTGAACTTTGTAAACCACCCATAGAAAGCCTTGAATGACTGGCTTAAAGCTTTCCCAGTTACCCGGATACTGACTTGTCTGTCAGTCAGCCATTTTGTCAGGTTTTTATTGATATCATCATATCAAACAGGCCTTCCACCTCCTTTACAATGCTTAGATGTATCAGTAAGATTTTAAAATTTTTCTTTGTTTTGACACCATTGTCACACTTGTTTTCTGTCTATAGGAACACATTAGTCGCAACATGTTTCTCTTTTCTTGCACATATGCGATAACTTTAGATTTAAAGGAAATGTCACATTTTTTGGGGTTCCGGACATGGTGATAGTGTAATGCCAAGTTGGGATCAGAATGACTATAGATTGATATCTTTTTAATGATATATATTGGCATACATGCAATGAGAGTGTGATTGTCATTTCATACAAAGTACTTGTCACCATGAGTACAATGACAATATTTATACTAGTGCAATTTCTTACATTAATGCCAAAACATTTGTATATTTCTTTAACAATGTTTGAAGCATTACACATGACATCAGTGTTTATAGACTCTATATAGCGACCTTCTGAGTCTGAAATTTTGTGTTCCATTAAACGCTTTTGCTTAGGAAATTGTATGTCCCCAGGCGTTTATCCGAATAAGTACGGTAAAAAAGATCCAGGCTGTTGATTTTGGTTCTTTACTACTATTATTTAGTGGAGTAGTGGATGGAGAGCTACCGATTGTACAAATAATTGACCTTGACCTATATTTAAAATCTCTTGGGTTAAGTGAGTTTAGATCTTAAGATTTCTTTTTTATTGAGCAATAGGTTCAGAGTAATGGCATTTATGTGGGGGCATTTCTAAAGAATATGATTTCAAGTTTGAAGAAAATGTTTTTTTGAACCAACAATGTCTTACTGTAGAGTAATTGATCAATTTATTTTAGGCATGTTTGGCCTCTTTCTTTGTATTCAGATGACCATTAAGACAAATTGGCCTCTTTTTTTTCCACAGATTTCCGACAGCTTTTCTAATACCTTACACCTGGTAGTGCGTGATTTGGGACCTGACAGTGAACCAGACAGGATTGTCCCCAGAAACATACCATCAGAACCCACCACAGAAAAGAAACAAACAGAACAACCTGAGGATCCAAAAGTCACCGGTCATGGGACAAAGGTCAATGATGAGGGGTTAAATGTTGATGGACAAATGTCGGAAACAATCATACATGTTGATGATGCTACTGGTGAGACAACTGAAACAACACGTGTCGAAATTCCTTTGGAGACCATTTTGGAAATGTGAGTTTCTGAAGACTGAGTATGAATTCATCAAAATGTTTTTACAATACTTACACATGTTAAAAAAAGACAAAAGTGATTGCTCTAAAACATGAAAATGTTGATTTCAAGATGTACTGCATGCATCAAAATTGGACTTTTCTTGTACAAGAATATTCTTTTTGCGATGCAGTGGATGTAGTTATATGTTAGAATGAACAGAAACAAGTTTATCTAATATTTCTTAATATATCATACAATTATTTTAACAGGATGGATACAAATGCACCACAGCTACAGGATGTCGTAGATGAGACGGGAGAAACAACCCCACTCCTTCCAACCATTTCTGAGAACAAATCACGCCTTGCTGATAAAAAGGTATGAACACAGTTGATATACAGATTTAAAGATACAGGATTGCAATGTTTACAAGGTGTTAGAAGTGTTAATAAATAATGATCCACTTTCAAATTAAATGAAGATGAAATTGACTTGTGTTTTCAATGGTGTTGCCAGTTATTATCTTTGATATGTATACAACACTTTTGCATTGAAGATTTTCTAAAAGATTTATATATGAATTTGGATGTTGTAAGTGAATACATTTGAATCGAAGTCATAATTTTATTAAATATATCTATATTGAAATTTTTTTTTTGTACATCTTTGTTATTTGGCAATATTAAGGAATCTAAACATATATGATGATTTTTAAAGGCTGACAAGAAGATAAAGACAAGAAAACTGACAAAGGAATCCCGTAGATTGACCCAGAGTGCTGACAGAGGTGCAAAACCCAAGAAGTTGACTCTGGACCTTGAGTCTGGCGAATCTGATGAAGTTGCAATGCCATATTCAGTCTTTGTCAAATTTATGCAACAGGTATACATTATTTCATATATTCATTACGTATTACTTTTATATTATGTTCTTTATTTTTCTTTTTCACTCGTCTTTTTTTTTTTTTTAATCTAATGAAAATTTTCACGATGCATATCATGGACACATCTGCCAAGGTTCTTTTCTGGCAGTAATTATTGACTTGTGAAAGGAATGTCATTTGTATTTCATGAAAATATATAAAGAAAGGAATGTATCACATACCATTTTCACATCAGTACTTCAAAGCTTAAGGACAAACAAAAAGTAATGTGTTCATGTCAAGAAATGAATGCTTCAGTCAATTTATGAACTTTTTGGCCAAAATTTACCAGCTATATCTTTGGTTGAACTTTGCATTTAGCTCCATTTTCATCAAAGTAGAAGATGGAGGTGTGGGTGCAAATAGCAATTCACATCTATATTCCAAGCATTCTTTTTGATTTAGCTGAAAACAGAACTGAGAACTGAGATAGTCAAGGATGTCACAAAGAAGACTGTTCGCCATGTCCTCAAGGGGCTAGATGGTGCTGTCATCCAGTCAGTTAAGGGACCGAATGAAGTTGACCCTGCTGTGACCTCACCAACAGCGTTCCAAGGGGAGACTACCCCTAAAACAGAAATACCATCAAGTCATCGTTAGTCATCATTACTACATTTTGATTGACATCTGATCCTTTCAATTGATTTATCTTGCACATTTTGATTTTTGTTTTCAATAAATCTTCAGATCTCTTATTTTTTCTTTGTCACATCTACTATAACTCATATTCAATATAAAACTTGATCAAGATTTTTATTTTTGCATGAAATCAATTTCTAGAGGATTTTTTTTTTTTGTAATTAACCTTCAACATTTTTAATGAAAGGAAATGTTGAACAGGTCCATTTTGTAGAAAGTTCTGATTAATGAATGAGAATTTCTGGCTTTATCAGTATAAAGATTAATGGCCATGGTTGTTCAATTTTCTATTTTTATTTTATTTTAGCAATATATTACCATGAAGGTATCATTTGCAACTTCTGTGATCGAGTCATACTGGGAGTACGATACAAGTGTTGGTAAGTATTTAGTGTAAGGTAAATGATTCAGTTATAAATCTTGAGTTATTGCTTAAGAATTACCAGGTAAAAAAAATGCAAAAAAAAAAAAAAAAAAACGAGAAAAATATTTCTCAAAATTATTGTATACTGTGTTTGATATATATATGTAAACTTTTCATTATATAATTGTGATGTTGAATCATGAAAAGTGAGATTTCTATCTAATGAGTAAATTTGCTAATTGATTTAAAATTATACGAAGGATTATAACCACTGTGTTTCAAAATATCTATTTTTTCAGTAATTGCATTGACTACGATCTTTGTGAAGAATGTGAAGCTGTAAACGGAATTCATAACACAGATCATGTGTTCCTGAAGCTCCGGAAACCAGCTAAATTTCGTCTACAAGCTCCTCTCTTCAAGGCCACTTTGTACCGTCAGAGGGAGAAACTTCCACAAGAGGAGTTAATTCAGGAGTCAATAACTCGTGACCAAGTGAACAGGGATTGTATGACAGAACTCCTTCAGACCAAGTTTGACAAGTGAGAACTTAGGAAAATTTTGATTTTTTGTTAACAAACACTATCTGATTGATAGATAACTCTTTATTGGATAATCTTACAAACAATTTTCTCCCTTGCCTTTTGAAACTGGGGGTTTACAATATATTTACATTAGAGAATGCTTGAAAACCGGAGGCACAAGCCTTGAATTTCACTAATTTAGGGTGTATGTTATCCTCATTTGAGGGTAATGGAGAACACTTCTTACAGAAAATTTTAATCAGATTTAAGGGAGACAAATGGTGTTCATTATCAATACTTTGGAAATAAAAATAGTGTTTGTAATTATGAGAACATAGTTGTATAATATCAAAACTGGATGAAATATGCAATAAATGTGTAGTATTTCTAACATAATTTTGCTGGTGTAGGATACAAGAGAAAACAGCACGCAAACAGGAAAGACTGAGGAGGAAAGAAGAAAAGCTGCTCCATAAACAACGCAGGAAGGAAGAGCTTCTTAAACGCAGACTTGACACCCAGCGTGACGAACCACTGAAGCGAGAGAGGCTTGAAATTCCTCTCCGAAGGTATGCTCAGATTTTCTGTCATTTAGTCTTCAATTTGTATTTAGTATCATGTGTTGTACTTATATAGCAAATACTGGAGAAAAATAGTCCCATTTGTCGTGTGTTTTTATGACTTTATATATAACAACAGACGTTATCAGTATTATGCTTTATACACAGTGCATGGCCAATGAGATAAAGATGATATTTCCACCTGTTGAAACTAAATCATGTTTGAAATTTGAATTGCGAGACAGAAAAGAAATTTTTTATAGTTTTACCTTCTGACATCGAAAACTTGTTATTTTGTTCATATTCCTCAACGATTTGACGTCTTTGTGGAGTATACATATTTACTGATGTCCCCTTCAGCTTTGTCGAAATATGAATCTCATACTGATTTATAATAAAACAATATCGTATTTCAGACATATGGGATTTGATGCCTCTTTGCTGTATGATGTGACCATCCCAGATGAAACCAAAGTCCAGCCAGGAACTAAACTCCTCAAAACCTGGCGCATGAAAAATACTGGAAGTCGTACCTGGAATGATTGCACTAAGGTTAGTTAAAGTAACTAGATATATGTCGCTAAGACCCTAAAAATATGCAGAAAGTAATAAACATGTGTTATTAATTAAAATATCTGAAGGGTAAGTGATGTGTATAAAAGCTGGCATCAACTTGTGTCCCTTTATCTTATCCCTCGGGGTATTCAGTAATGAGGATACAGTTCTATCATCACAGAATTTGACAATTTCCATTTTAAATTCAGAGTGTGTTAATCAACATTTAACCTACTGTGTCTTGACATTACCAAATTCATCCTAAAATTAAAAACTTTTTTCTTAGTATTTTTTTTTGGTAGTGGATCCAGTCAATTACGATGTTTAATTAAATGATTTCTGTGCAGATTTGTTTGAACAGAGACAAGTGAATGGAACGATTTACTTACTAGTAAACATTCACGCCATACAATTACCTTGTTATCAATCTAATAATACTGATTCTGTCGGATTTATATGAACACTTGATATGTAAAATGACCATGCAATGCTATGTTTCCATGGAGATTTCATAACTTCATGACGTTATTGAGATGGTATATACAGGGAGAACAGTTCCAGTTTAGATATTTAGTAGATGACATTAAGATTATTTGAAAAGGTATCTAAGTCCTTTGATAATTAAAATCATGATTTTTGTTAAAAAATGTTTGTTTTATCTCTCCAGCGTCTTGATGAATGAAAAGTTCTAAAGCTTGTGTCGTCAGTCTCATTTGAAATGGAAACTTATGCAATGTCATCAAATTAGAAAACAAAGGTTTTAACAAGTGGTGTTAATTATCATCATTATTTTGTTACAGCTCCACCTGGTGTACGGATCCTTCCCAAGCCTCAACAGCAATGAGGATGTGAAGGTCTTACCTCTGGCTCCTGGTGATGAAGCTGATATCTCTGTTGAACTAATTGCACCAGAGAAACCCGGTAAATAACAATCAGAAAGTGAAGTCGTTAGATATAAACACATAAATCTTTTTTTCCATCAGATAACTTAATATCGTTACATATAAACACATAAACCTTTTTTCCATCAGATAACTTAATATCGTTACATATAAACACATTAATCTTTTTTTCCATCAGATAACTTAATATCGTTACATATAAACACATAAACCTTTTTTCCATCAGATAACTTAATATCGTTAGATCTAAACACATAAACCTTTTTTCCATCAGATAACTTAATATCGTTAGATCTTAACACATAAACCTTTTTTCCATCAGATAACTTAATATCGTTTTTCCATCAGATAACAACACATTAATCTTTTTTTTTTCAATCAGATAATATCAATAGATATAAACACATTTTTTTTTCTATCAGGTAACTTAATATCGTTAGATATAAACACATAAATCTTTTTTTCCATCAGATAACTTAATATCGTTAGATATCAACACATTAATCTTTTTTTTTCCATCAGATAACTTAATATCGATAGATATAAACACATTTTTTTTTCAATCAGATAACTTAACATATACACCCATGTTGTAGACTTCATTATACGTCTCACATGCTGGAAGTGAAAAATGTACGTTCAGAGACCTGTCATGTAGGAAAATTAATGCAATATTTTTTTCTCTAATTGTCTATAACAAAGTATTAGCTAACAGCAGTTTATAAATAGAATCTTTTACTGTAAGGCTCACTTTCAGTTATAGATATGACTTATAAACTGTTACGCTTTTTCTGATATGTTTTCAGGTAAATATCAGAGCCATTGGAAGATGACCCAGTCTGGAAAACAGTTTGGGCACCGCTTGTTGTGCATGATCTGTGTGGTTCCTAGAGAAGTTCTGGAACCAACAGGAGAAGAACCACTGAAGCTGGATCATGTCGTCGTTCTGAATGATGTTGAATCCAAGCAACAAGTAAGAAATGTCATGTTTAGCAGTATAATAAGCGTTTTGATTCTTATTTTTGCTTCTTAACAATAATTTTGTCTTAAATGGAGCAATGCTCCTGTTCTTGTTAGACTGACAAGTGGAGAGGGGACTGATTTGCAGGAGAGAAATTTGCGATGAAATACATTAAATTAACAATAATCATACATTGCTGATATTCATTTATCACCAAACTGGAAAGTAAATGTTGATAGTAAGTTCAAAAATTGAAATGATTCTTATTTCATTGATATTTGTTTCTGTCTGAGAAAACTGATGCGGACATGTTTTAGTTTTGAAGTATTTTGTCACATTCTAGTGTGAAACAACAGATTATCAAAACAGAAGTCTTTTTCTGTCATTCCAATATATGTGGAAAAGAAGACATGATTATAATGATGTGTGCCCAATGAATTGAGTCTCAACAGGACATCTGTGTAAAGAGGTCTGAATACGGAAGTGTTTAGATTACATATAGGTTCAATAGAAATGTTCAAATACAGTAAGAATTATTTATTTGGCAATGCTTATACAAAGATCAAATTAGTCTGTCATATGTTTGATATTTCATATGGCCCATTATTTTTACTAGATGGAGAAATCGTGTGAAGAGACTGAACACTTTACTGACCGAAAGGAAACTGAGGAACTGCTAACAGTTCGGGAAGAGTTTGTCATCAAAAAGGAAGTTGATACAAAAACGGAGGATAAAGAGGTCAATGATGAAGATGTCAAGGTTGAAGAGGTCAGAGATGAAGACAAAGTCAAACTAGAGCAGGATCTAAGCACAGCTGCTGCAGCAGTTGCACAACTGAAACTGGATCAGAGTCAGCAGCCTGTGACCAGTGAAGCTGGACAGGACCTCATGTCTTTTGAACTGCTAAATTTAGCCAACAGGGGAAGCCACAAAGTGTCACAGACTGCCACACCCAACAACACACCCCTTGGTGAGTTAGCAATAGACGTTCAGCTTATGGCAGTAATGGTACATTGTAAAAAAAAAATTCAATAGTAATTGTAATCATAAAAAACCTTCACATTTTGGTGGGGTAAGATATACTGTTACTCATGTCTGTCATCTGGTCCTGGTGTGCTTCAAATCAATGTCATATCTTAAGAATCTCAACACATTTTATTCATATTTACCCTTTATCTTGAAGTTCTATAAATCTGATCAGATTCTGATTTACATAGAATGGCACATTTATGTCTTACACATATTGTCTGGGTTGATACAGTAAGACTGTTCTACTTGTGATCTGGTTATACTAGATTTTCAGTGGCAACAATTACTTCCCATACATCGTTCACACAGGGCTTTATGCTTGAAGATTTTAGCTTCACAATATTCAATATCGTTAAAGGGAAGCACATATATTTATACTGTAAACTATAATCTTCTTGGAAGCTTGTCTATTTATGCGTATAGTTGTTTTAACATGTCTAACTGCACACTGTTAAGATTTTATAAGCTGGTGTCTCTCAAAATTTAATCCCTGTGAACCAGTTTTATGACAGCTTCCATGCTTGCTGCTATGTGCTGACATGGTGGTTTCATTTGAAATGTTCCCCCTTGGACAAGTTGTGACAAGGACAACCTAGCATTGTTTTATGGAGATTAATTGTGATGTTTTAACTGTGAATCTATGATTCTTTTACATATTTTAGGTTTGACCCTGGTGGTGTATACAAATGATATTGATTTATTACATATAGTAAATTGATCTGACACAAATGATTCTGGTGTCATCAAGTTGAGAATTGTTTCTAATCAGGTTTAAGAGATACATATTACTTAAAATGTTAAAAAACGGGACTCTGTTACATCAGTCTGAAGTGCATATACCAGAAATCTTTGTCAATTTGTTAACTCTCTTTGTAGATGTGACCCCACCCAAGTCCCCAGCTCCAGAGCTGGAGGATCTGAAAGCTTTGTCTGCAAGCAGCAGTGTGGAAGTAGTCAATGCTGACGTTGCTGAGGTAAACGCAGAAGAGGATCATCTGTCTGGTCAATATGTCCGCGACATTATGGACAACCTTCATGCTCCTAAACTTGGTATGTTGTTGTGAACATAGTACCAATTCACCATATTCTGAAATGCTATTATATCATCACAGGGAGGTTTATATCTCCTTACTGTTGTATTGCACTTTGGTTTTCCAATCATGATCTCTCTTGTGTTTGTAACAGATACAGACGATGTTGACATAGAGTCTTTGAAGAGTTACACTGATGATGATGATGACTCGAGTCTGAGTGAGGATGATGACTTCCTCATTGTTCCAATGCCGGCTTGCTTTGACTTCAGCAAACCTGTTATCTCGCGCTCTATCATTGATGATCTGACAGATGATGAGGAGGAAGAAGATGAAGATGAAGAAGTAGATGACAACCATAATACAATCTCACCTAGAGGTAAGAGATATCGCCGTCTTTACTCTCCAAGAGGTTCCAGGATTAAAGAGTAGGTCTTGAAATATCAAATTCATGTTTCAGGCTCTGAGAATATTAATAAGTTTTGATTCTGTTCTTGTATTTCATGAATTATAAATGTCTTTTCTGAAGCAATAATGTAAGTATGGAGTCAGTGATTTTTGAGATTCAAATAGTTGATATATCTTTTTGTAACTGGACTCAACAAAATTTTAGAAATGTTGCTCTAAGCTCAACTAGTAAATCTTATACAAAACATAACTGTGGTTTTACCACTAACCACACAATATTTATAACACATAAAGAAAGCATTGAATTTTCCTCTACAATCAAATTACCAGATTTCCTATGTTTAAATCAGTTTTCATCTTTGAATATTAAAGCTGTAAATCTGTTGCTGATGTTCTCATTAGGAAAAAGGTTTTTGAAAGTTGTATATTAATCTTTTTTACTGTTTGTTGTTGATTATGCGACCTATCAGTTATACTTAGAGTCGTTCTACCACTAATTGTTATCATGAGTGCCCCGTCTTTCTGCCAGCATTTCCTGCTAAATGTTACTACACAATTCATGTTGTATGTTTACTTGAACAATAACCCTGATCACTGATTGGATAGAATATCTCATTTCAACTAAATGAAAATAAGAGATTTGTACAAAAAAAAATTCAATGCTGATATACAAAACTAAAGCTACAAGTGGTTAATGTTCAATTAATGTTACGATTAATCAGCAATGCTCACCCAGACAATTTTCAAATCTTGGAAATATTTTTACAGGTTCATCTGTTGATGAGCTTCTTGCGACATCTGAGGCCTTGCCTACTCAGCCACTTGACCCTAAACCTGTCGATGATAATGTCAACAAACAGGTAGGAAAACCATGTTTAAATCAAAGTATTTCATAATTAGAAATGTTTCTTTAATTATAAGAATTTTATCTTTAACTGAATTTCCGATTAATTTGTGCCTTAATTTGTGCTCTCTATTTTTTAGCAATCATCATTGAAAAACGTATTACCCTTTTGATATAAGTTTACTTAAACCAAAGCTGTTGTGCTATCTAACAGGAAACGCTGGAATCTGAATCAGCAGAGCCACCGGCTGTTGCCGCAACTGCCGCTGAAGTGCCACAGGATGTTGACCCAGAGGAAACTGCTGTGATGACAGTTTATTCCTCAGCTGCAGGAGCAGCTGGTGTTTATGACGATGTGTCCCCAAACACTGGATCAGGAGTGAGCTGTGGTTCAGAAGAATCAGAGCAAAGGGAGACAACTCACACAAAGAAGCCAGTCATAGTGGATGTCCACCCTGCAAATGGGGGAGTAGCTTCTGATGACAGGCCAGAGAACGGAGCCACCGGCGAGAACGGGACTGATCAAGACTCAACTGGTCAACATGGAGTGTAAGTTGTGTTTTATCAAAAATGTTGGACAGCAATTTTTTAATGGAATATATTTTAGTTTATTCCTTAATACTAAAGTTAATACTTAATACTTAGTACTAAAACAAGCTATAGAAAACAACATGTACTATTAAACTGTTTAAGATGCTGAAATGTTTTGCTAATTTGTGAACCTGATTATCACAAAAGGTTCAATACTTAATGATTTTATTAAAACTTCTAAAAAGGATTTATTTTTTATGATTTTATTTGTATGTAGTATACTGATTTAGCATAATGTGGAAACTTTTGAAAATAGTTTAAAAGAAATTCTAAAATCAAATGCTTGTGTGAATCAGCACCAAGTTAAATTTTATTAAGCAGGGCAGAAAGAGACCAACACTAATTTTTAAGACTTAACAGAATAAATGTCATGATTGTATTTTGCAGGCCACCTGACATGTTTGTGAACCAGGTGATGGCCACGGCTGTGAAGGCTGCCAACAAGGCTGCATCTAATGCTCTCACTACGTGTAAAGAGGTCTTTTACACCTGGCAAGCTCGGACATACCAGGTAAGTCAAAAGTCAACACTTGTCACAGTCCCAGGTTGGAAATGACACAATTATGAAATAGTGACCCTGACCTCAAATATTCCAAGATCTTTTATTAATTCTGATCTTTTTAATGTATAAACTATTTTCAGAATGGTTCACGTCAGCCGGGACAGAAATACAAACCACCTCAGTCTTCCTGGAAACCTAAGGAGGAAAAGTTTCCAGCTGAAACCCAACCTGAGGTATGTAAAGTGTATCTACGTTTGTATAAACAGTTTATTGATTATGTCATTTACGTATGTTCTTGGTCTGATAACCAGTAAACAATTTTAATTCAAGAACAAAACTGCCAATTTAGAGAATCAGAAAGCTGCATGCAACTTTGTATTGTTTTGATTTTCAGCATGAGTCCTGCAACTAACTTTCTGACTTGAAGAAAAGGCTCGTCCACTGAAAGGCTGTAATAGTGGATGTTAAAACTGTTGAATGATTATATAAGATAGGGTGTGTTCCTGTAAAACATCTACTTGAACCCAGGACTCGAAAATAAATCATTTCTCTTCAGTTTCTAGTATATTCAATGTATCAGTTCAGTTCTCTTGGTGGTTCTATCGAACAAAACCTGAATCCTGAGTACGTAATATACTGAAATATTTATCTGTTTTCAATTTTGATGCTTATTTGAAAACAAATAAAAAATAATGATGTCTCTTGCTAGATTGTCTGTAATATATTTGACTTAACTGTTCACAGCAAGCCACTAGTCAACCAGGCAAAACATTCATCCCTCCCAGATCTACCTGGAAACCAAAAGAGGATCAGTATAAGCCACCGAAGACAGGATGGACTCCTCCCCAGGACAAATGGATGCCGCCCAAGGATAAGTGGATGCCAAACGCCAAGGCATCTGAACAAGAGAACTCTCCAATGACAAAGCTATTTGAAATGGGATTTTGTAATCGGGAGCTGAACCAGCAACTGTTGGAGAAACATGGCCAAGATGTTGAGGCGACCATACAGGCACTGCTCACTGCCACTGATAGTGACTGGATCGAGAAGCGTCACTAGGGAGACAGATTTGTCGAAAAGGCCAGGTTTGCTATACAAGGGCAGGGTTGTGTGTGGAGTCAAAAAAGTGTCATGGACAGTGGCAAAATGACTGGAACAATGTGGTTCTCAAGGAACAGTGATTTTTAATTGTGATTTTTTCTTTCTTTTTATTTTCTATTTTTTTGAGGGGTAGAGGAGGAAGGGGAGGTGGGGCATGGGGTAAATGGATAGGGGAGGTTGGGGTTGAGATTTGTCAAACATATTTGTAAAGTGGCCTGACATAGGAATGATATCATTTATTGATAGACTTGATGGATATTGAAATTGGAAGGAAGGATGTGATTTCCGAGTTCAGATTTAGAACTCAATTTTGACAAGATCTATTCACTATTGTGGACTGACACTTCTGTTATATATATAACTTCCTTTCATGGTTTATTTTCTTCCTGATTATGTGCACAGTGAGAGACAAGGCATAATGTCATTTATTGTAAAAAGCTGATGCAATTTGTATTACCAGGAATGGCATCTATAGATTCAGTAATCAAGAACCAATATTGTGTACACAAGGTATTTAATGATAAAGTTAATTTTCTTTCTTTTAATTAATAAAATTTGATGATGGTGTAGATAAATAGTGTTATACTGATACCTTGCATATATTTATATTTTATGAAATATTCATAACTGTCCTTTGATGATCATAGATGTTAAAAGGACATGAAGCAGTGTAGAACCAAACTAAATAATAAATTTTGGAAAACTAGGATCTTACAAAGTCTGCAAAGGTGCCAACAGGCTTTATTATTTGATAATATTTCGCAAATGCCAGTTATTTTAAATTGGATTTTCAATGTTTCAATTAAAAATTATAGCTGTAAACACCACAACACTTTTTTAAACAAAAAATTTGAAAAAAAATATTGTCTTCAAATGATATGCATGCATCAATGTACTCACTTTGTCATGTGCTTTCAGCTTAAATATGATAAAAGCTACATGGTTTGATAGATGTCTGTCTTTGTTGGTTCATTGTTAAGTGAGAAATACAGATATTACAAGGTTATATCTGAGGGATATCAACTTAGCAGGCTGCGAGGAGCGGTAGGAGTTAATTGCCGGTCAAGTCAGTATGATATAGCATGACAGTGATATCCATATAATTTATTCAGCTGATGTTATTTATAAAGTAAGTGCAGTTACACATGATCATATGAAAGGTTTATGTCTTTGTTTTAATTATTGTTTGGATTTCATGTTGATCAGGAAATGGCCTGAAATCAAAATTATCTGCCCATTATTACTCATTAATTGTGAATTATGCTTCTTGTTATATATATCATCTGATATCCAAGAATGTTTCCTACAACAGGTCCTTATTTTCATTGTCGTACAAACACTTTTGAATATTTCTGATTCATACCATATGTTTTCGTGCTAAAAATAGTGAGTTTGTGCTATTTTACATTTATTTGTTAAAGTCTAGTGTTGGCTCTTAGTCATCTGAAATAGTAAGTTTGTACTATTATTTTTCAGTGATGGTCTGTTATTTTTGAAGTGTTGTTTTTCTACTGGTGCTTACCGGAAAACAGCAAGCCTTTAATACCAGGCTGAATGGATTTTACCCAGATAATAGGACGAGTAGCAGTCCAATCAAATACATCACAGTCAAATTTCTTAAAACAGTTTTAATTGGATGCATTTAAAAAAAGGAAATTTTCATGCAGAATCCATTTTGTATTCTTTAGTTTCATGTGTAATCAATGGTTTTGTTGTGTCCATTAGTTACAGGTCTTGTATTTAGTTAGACCGAGGTAACATTTAAATGGATTGGACCGGTTTATTCATTCGTCTGGATTATATACATCATAATTAATTTTTTTTTTAATTATTTTATTTTAAATCGTTACAAGACCAGCAAAATGTGAAGGGTTTTGGACTTACTGTGAAATATGGAATGGATCTTTAGAGAGTAACTCTAAAAGTTTGCAGTGAGGAGAGTTGAATATGATAAGAACACAGACCTCAAAAGGTTATTAGGTTTGGGAAAAAATGTAGTGGGTTTTCCAAGAAATGGACAGAAAGGTGAGAGTGTTGTATGAATGTCTATAGGTCTGTGATATTATGTGTTATTGTTGATTTGGAACATTGACCTTTGAACTGGAGAGTTATCTTTCCCTGCGTGGTAATATTTTGTTTGAGGTCATCAAGTACAAGTCCTACCAGCAAAATTAGTGCTACAACTGTACATATGTTTTATTATTGATGATAAAAAGGACAATGATTGGTCAAAATCAGCATATGTTCTGGTTCACTAGAGGGTTACCTACCCTATTTATAACTGGTTCTTTTAAAAAATATATACATTATTGAACTTGAGTAGTAGTAATAAGAACTTCAAAAGTATGTTTTTATGAATTTTTTTTATATTGAAAGTTATAATTTGAATTTTAAGTACTATTTTGATGTTTTCTAGGAGTTACAGAAAAGAAGTCTTAAAATATCATTGAATGAAAAACCAGACAAAAATAAAACTGTTTTGTACAGGATATGTGGGTTAGGTGAGGTAGAAAGCTAGCTGTTGGAATGTTACATGGTTCTGTGTGGAATCTGACCGCTAACAAATGCCAGTAAATATTGCTGATTTTGACCTTTTATTGTGGTTTATGATGTAAATATTGTAAAGAGAATGATACCTATATCCGTCATTAGTGTATTCGTAAAAATAGTTGTTTGTGATAATCACATGCTGATAGAGTCACAGGGACTTGTCACTAATTCCTGACCCTTTCGTCATAATAAAATTTACTGATTGTTGGTTAGGAATCTGTGCCAAGTCCCAGTGAATAGAGCTAAAGAGATGAAATGGTTAACACAATGCTATATATTATTTGTTGATGGCATTGAAAGGGATGGATGACTATATATGGTATTGTGTTGCCCATATATGGAATTTTGTTGACCATAAATAGTATTTCGTTGCCCATATATGATATTATGGGTACATGTACAATATATGGTAATATTTCACCCATATATGGTATTGTGTTAATCATATCGGCTGCAATAGTTATTTCACTGAAGAGTTTTAATGTTTATCTGTCTTTCAATGGTTAATGAACTTGATTATCTATGAAATAAAAACAGCAAAAAGATAATTTGTTTTGTTCCTTTTTCACTAGCACTTAAAAGCAGCTATATTAGGAAGAATAAAGTTCTTTTGACAGAGCTTTGAATGTAATTAATATTTGAGTTTTAAAGCTGTTAGACTTGCAATTTCTTGTGGTGCATGACACTTTATAACAGAAAAAAAAATAGCATAATAGGTTTTTAGTCCTTCGTCCATTTTTCTGTCTTTCCTGAAAACAACTCTATTTAATCACTTTTTGATAGGTCATTATAATTTCATGCATGTTCTCTATGGTTCCAGCATGAATAATTGAACAGTAATTCAGCATTATACATTATAACTGGTTTAACTTGGCTTAGTAAAATGGTTTGTTAGAAAAGTTTGACTTCATGAATAACTATTTAAAGTTTTGTTACAATAGTATGAATTTAGTGTGAATGTGATAATATAATCATGGGATGTTGATGTAAAGAGAAAACAGATTTTTTAATGAAACCATAATTTTGAATTTATAACATCGGCCATAAACAAGGGGGAAATTTACATTGAAAAGGTAAGAACAGAATGAGGGCCAGACCAGATTTTGTGCTCAAGCAAACTTTTTTATAATTCACCTAAATCATATAAAGTAATACAAATGTCTTTAAACCTTGAATATAACTTTGACTTGAAGTCCTTTCAAAATTGTTTTTAAATCTTTGGCAAAATCAGCCTTATTTATTAGTTTTTAACTTAAACAAGACATGAGGCTTGAGCACAAAATTCATGCTTGAGCATGAGGACGGTTTCATGAATATGGGCCCAGGTATTCTGAAATGGCATCTTCAGATTTAATGACGACACACACCATGTAAATTTCAGTTGATACAGGTCAGTAAAGTTACATTTTCTGAAGAAATGGAATGATAACAAAACCATAAGGTGTGCTAATGTGACCCATCTCCCTTTGTTTTCCACCATCTGTCAACATGTTTCATGGAAATAATGATATAAGGAACACAGCATCCTGCGAGGTTAAGACAGTTGCCTGTCAAAATGTGTTATGGCAGTGTAATGGTCAGAGGTAACCACAGATAAGGTTTAGTAAGCATGAATGTTACTCTCTAAAAATGGAAAACTATATTATTGTAACATGGTTACTGTCAGTTTTGTTGTAAATAGAGAGATACAAGGCTGATAAGAATATATCTTGTCCTTGTGGCCAGTACGTATGTAGTTATAAATAAAATGTAACACATCCACAGTTCAAAGTCCATGAATACAAAACTATATCTGTACCAAACATATTATGGTAAATCAGATCAGCTAAAATCTAGAATTTTAACCTGCATTTATATATGTACATCACAAAATACCGAAACACCTTTACCACAGGCAGAAAAAGAATGTAATTTTACCCCATCCTAAGATAGGTACAACAGTTACTGTAGTAGAAAGGAGTGATAAAAGGAGAACCCTTGGTCTGCATTTTGACACATTTACCACTTGACTAAATGGAAATTCCTACTGGTGGCGGCCAGTAAGGTAACCCGAGCTTTCAATTTCTACACTTAACAGTACCATATTTATAAAAGAAAGAATAATGAAAAATACAACCCAAGCCAGTTTTCAAACAGGCAATCTTTCAGTCTGAAGCCCGACAATCCACCATTCGACTAGAGGCAGATTCCTCCTCACTGTGGCTAGTAAGATGACCTTTAAACTCACTTCTGACATTCCTAGTATATAATCTAGGTTGTAGTAACTAAGGTGCTGAATAAGCAATTAAAAGGTAATAACTGCTTAAAAATACATGGAATATCTCCCAAGTATATGACTTTCCCATCTGATCCTAAACCTCAGTCACAAATTGTCAAAGTCATGGTCAGACAAAAGAAACAAGGGTGATAACTCTGTTACTTGTGTAGTAAGGTGCATGTTTTTTTATAAGAATGTGCAAATGCATTATTTGTGCAATTAAAGTACAGAAAATCCAGGTCAAAATATTATCTGAAGTCAACATGCATTATTAATAAAAAATGGAAACCATTTCTCATATTTTGTTCACATTTCGAATGGTATATAAAAAAAAGATCAAAGGCTTTCAATTGTTTTTAAATTTATTGATATTTTCTGTGAAATTATTTTCAAAATAATCCCACTAAACATAACAAACATCTAAAATAACACAGGATGGGAGGCCCCTCTAGAAGGGTAACAAAGTGTTCATACAAAAACCTTCGTACAACTTACAGAGTAATTATTTATAAATAGATACTTCAATCACATGACGTTAGGTATCGACTGTTAAGTAGTTTATATGAGCAAAAATATGGCATTAAAATAAGATGAGGAAAAAACATGAAAATATAAATCTAAGTGGTTTTGAAAATAACTTTAGGTATTTTAATCAAATCACGAAGAGATACCTGAAACAAAATTCTTAATTATTCAAAACACAGCTTAACTGAACATTTCTATATCTTAAAATGAAATGAAAGTGAAATGCCCGGCACATTATTCACAATGAAAAAAATACTGATGTAGCTAAATGAGTGTAATGTATAAAAATCTAACCATACTGTTCCTACATCATTTCAAAAAATTGAAAAAAAAAAAAGATTTTTACTATTAGTAGTTTCATTTACAAAACCGAAACTTTACAAGAAAAACTTTGAAATTACCTTTTTATAGCTTTCATTCCCTTGCGTGTTTAAGACCTTAAGAACAGCTATACATTAAGAAATTCCATCTAATCACCAGTTATATTGCTTAGAACTGCATCAGAACAATTCTTCTAAGATCTTGACGCAGTTTGATTGAACTGGAAGAGGAACAGCATACATTTATGTTGTTTCAACTGGTTGGAGATTCGTCTTTTTATCATCAAAAATTTACTTCATAGGAATGAAGATGATTTGAAGTGGATGAGTAATGTCAATATACAAATGTAATTACTTTCACTTTCCATATACTTTACCTGTGATGGATTTAAAGCTCTATATTTTCTGTTTACATTTGGTGGATGAAAAATGAATTTTCTAAATATCCCAATGGACTTTGTTCATGAGCATGAATTTTACCTCTATAGATGATACAAATAACAATTTTGTAAAACATATTAATAAATGTAATAAGCAAATTGTTAAAATTTACACAAGATATTCAGCAGTGTGAAATATTATACCGAGTTAGATCTGACAAGACTTGTTGGATTTAAATAAGCAATGTGTTGATAATAGACTAGCAAATTGCTTTGGTGAAACCATTTCTATTCTCTCTTGTAATCATCTTTACGAAAATCTGACACCACCAACAATTCCATTGCAAATGAAATGAAAGGGGAAATGAATTCAATGGTCTGTCAATCGAAAATGATAAGATAATTGTCAAGAAAGAGTGAATGGTGAAAAAGATAAAATTGTTCATCTGTTTTCCTTTTTTATCCTAGTCTCAAAAATTTGTTCTTTAATATGGAAATTATAACTTCTTAACATTCATCAATATTTTATAAGAAATGCGTACTTGAAAGAAAGAATTGACGTTTGCCTATCGGCTCATGGCATATCAAATTATTGAACTCGTTTAATAAATTCCATAATACATTGACACTCATGTAAGATCCGCTATGTATTACCTGAATTACGTCTTGTTGCCAACAGCCAAAAACACTGTCCCCAACCAAGATTATCAAGAATCATACAGAAAATAAGCATGTTGTCCACTAATTTGCATTTTTCACCAAAATTCACTTTCACAGTCAGATGCTTAAAGAAAAATAACAAAACAAAACAAAAAAAAACAAAAAAAAAAAAAAAATTGTGGTGATTTCCTTAACCAAACTGTAATATTTTTAACAATGCTTTGCTTTTTCAAATTTTTAACCATTTCCTCCAAATGTTTCGAATGGAAAAAATACAAACTGGCCTCGCTCAACAAGGATGTGTTGTATCCTGTCTTGTATAAAAAAAATGTTTCCCTCCCTTGTGTCCTCAAGTTTGTTTGCTGGTCATTCACAATTTCATTTGTAATATTTAAAATTACTTAATTCTGATAAGTATGAAAAGCATGTTAATTTAACACGATCACTTTTTCCACATTTGACTCGTCAAACACAGAATTTTGGAACATTTGCATAGTTATTCAAAGTTTCTATATAAAGTTGTGTCAATGCAATATCAATTAGATAGAATATTAACGACTTAAGAAATATATATTACCTTCAACAGAAAAAAAAAACTGAGAAAAAATCAACAACATATTGCAGGTTTCAGGTAAAAATTAATTAAAGGAATGCACACTGTACATCTACTGATTTAACAAGTGCAGAAAAAAGACAAAAAACATTCAAACAAGTACTGGTACTAGGGAAAACATTCAAACACTGGGAAATAAAATTACTTCAATAAATCCTTATCAGAGTGTTTGGACATCTAACTGAACTGGGCCCATATTAAAAGAAAAAAAAAAAATCTGAAATTGGACCCTGGTATGAATTGGATTTAGGGAACTTCATGGTGACATGCAAATGAAACAGCAGTACATTTACTGATATAACTAGGAAATGAAAGGTATGAAGGCACATTCATGTCACTACATAACATGTAAATACACTGTACATGCATATCTGTGGAACCCATACAGTTATCATCACTGTTCTTGATTGAAAGTTTTACCATAATTCAGGACAAATATGTCTTGTTTTAAAGAATTTGGTTAGGCAAAGAAATCATTTAAGAACAGTTTACTCAGAAAGTCTCATATTTTTAGATATTTTTTTAAAGTGTATTCTCTTATTTCTTCCAATGATAGACATTTTAGAGTGAAAATAAAAAAAAGTTCATGAAAGAAAGAAATATTTACTTAATGTGGATGTTTGGAGGTAAATATTTTTTTTCAATATAAGTAAAAAATGTTACATAATCATGAAAGTTCATTAATTTTCATATATCGTTGAATATACTATTTTTTCACACTTAAGAATATTTAATATTTTTTAAGCATTCTAGGTAATCATCAGGGAATAGTATATCACTATGACAACACAGAAACATATTGAATCAGCACAACAAAATGCAGACAAATGTTTATACACAATATTAGATATATATATATATATTATGACATGTTTATACATACGTTAATGTTTTGTATATCACAGTGAAAACATATTTTAGTACCTGTAAAATAAAATATAGTATTACCCTACCTTACTAGTAACGGGGCGTAATGGTGGTCAACAGCATAACACAAACAGATACCAATGAGGATTATGTAAGAATATTTATGAGAAAATTTGGGATCCTTCTTAAATTTTATTGTTATTTGAAAAATTCCTTAAAAAGGAAAAACAAAAAAAAAATGATATCCTCTTTTGATACTAATAACCAAGGACCAAACTTGGTAATCAACACTTAATGACTTAATGAAGGCTATTAAAGGTTAAAGGTCTGGTTGGTGGTTCTACTGAGCAGCATCAGATACAGATGTATGGGTGGGCTTATTACCAGACATGACCTCATTACAAGATAAGTGATAGTTTGTATAGAATTGTGTTTAGTAAATCAATGAATATTTGGATGGTTTCTCCAGGATCTCTATCCTGGAGTCTGGACTATACCATGGTTTTCATCCTTTTACATTATTTCAAATAATTACCACATATAGTGAAGTGAAATGATTTAGCCAAAAATTCCTCATACCAACAGGTATTGTATCACACTGAGAGAGAGACCTCCAAGGTAAGTGTTTCCTTGTCACCAGCAAAATAGGGTATTACATCATCAGATAAACACTTATATATATATATACATCATATTAACTTTCGTACAGAGAACACAATATGGACACATATACCACTGAAATTTAAAACCATTTCATTGGGCTAGCCAAAATAAACCTTTGTTCATTTTTAAGGAAGATTTTTCATCAAATGCCCATGGTCTGATATTCTAGTTTTCATTTTGGATTTCAAAAACCAAAGCAATTTAATGTTTGAAGTGACAGATGTCATTAATTTGCCAATACCTTGAAGAAAAAATATAGCTTTCAAAATTTTTTGTGAGATAGTTGGTATAATTTGAAATTTTAGTCATTTATTATTAAAGTCATTTTCAAACTTTTAAGTTTTCATTTTAACTATAAAAGTATTTTCCAATGTTCAATAGTTTCGTGAACTAACAAAAAGGTTTGAAACAAAAGGGATGTAATAAATTGTGGAACAGAGCACAAATAAGTCTGTAATTTACAATATGTTGATCTATAAAATAGGCCTGAAAATGAAAAAAAATTCAGGTATTTGAAATAACTTTCAAATTTCACTTTCATTTGAAATTTTCTCTTAATCTTTGTGATAATCTACACCCCTGAAATATCGTGAACAAACCATTGATTTCACAAGGAACAAAACATTTAACCTCTAACGAAAAAAACACAAAAACAAAAAAAAAAACAACAAATATCACTTGATTGGCCTGAAAACGAAGAACTCTTTGAACACTTTCCCACGAAATGGTTTTAAATGACAGGGTTTTTACTAGCAGAATTTTGGCACAAGAACAAAAAAAACACCGAAAAATTAACAAAAATGTATTGAAATCTTAAGATAAATTCAAATTTTTCCCGATCCATTTTTAACACATTAACACCACCTATAAAACGTACCTGGTTTTATAATTGTGGTGGTCTACTACATATAACATGTACTTTTATCTTCAAACCTAGTATGTACTATTGTTGGTGGTCAGTCCATTTAACACTGACTGTTATACCAACTAACCTTCGCTTTCTTACTTCAAAATTGAGGATCAACATAAATCTAGAAATGTGAGATAAGGTTAAAGTCAAATGACTAGACTTTCATTAAAATAATATATGGATGTTATGTCCTATAATCATTACAGCCATAAAAATTTTATTTCATGTATTGTGTATATATAATTGTATTACATTATATAATCAAGGACTCTTATGTTAGTAAAACAGCATAATGATGTGTTTGTTATAGATGCGTACTGCAAAAATTTTTATTTTGAAAGTTGAATAGGATACACTTCCTTTTAATTTTTTCCCCCGATTCAGAATAAAATTTTAGCCCATGATGCATTATCATAATAGTAAACCCTTTTTCTGGAGCTGTATCATCTCTTTACTTCATACAGTGAATTACAGAAATATCTTCCGATTTTAATTTATGGAACTGCCAGAAATATCTAATTCCTAAAATCATGTCTTGTGATTGTAGCCAAAAGCATGTATAGATCTTAACTTCAACAATCTTAAAATTTCACTTGTTAATTATCTCAAAAAATTGTTTGCCAATATCTATAAGCAATTAAAAAAGTAAACAAAACTAGCCAATCACAGCAGGCATTACAAAACCACTTCACCAATCACAGTTAAGTTAACAAATTAAACATGCTGTAGTGTACATAATAAAATTAAATCTTCAAAATGTAAATAAACATTATAAGTATAGTCTACACTACATGAAGGGAGTCAGTAAATATAAGACACATGCTACAGTCGTTCTTCAGCATTTTGAGTCATCTTCCCTTTTAATTTGTATCACATATAGATCATACTTTGAGGTAATGGGGAAATTCCTTTGATGTTCGTGTGATCCAATAAGAATTCAGCTTACAACTCAGCCGGACTTTGAGGTCATGTGACATGATTGTCATTTGCTAAAATAGCAGTGAACCAAACAGAAATCAGCTTGTAGTCTAGCTGACTTGCTGTCAGGTGATGAACCTGCACTTATCTCATACTACTGTGGTGATCTGACAGACGTGTGTAACAAGCTTTTTCATTGGACGAAACAGACCTAGAGAGGTTATTACATGCAAAGGTCATCAGGTGCAAATTTAAGGCAAATTAGTACAAGTTCAAAGGTCACAGCAAGCGAAGAAAAGTTAAAAAATGCACACAACATCAACAGCTTAGCTTTGCTAGCTTGTCTACATCTGAATATTCTGTTCTCCTAATTATGCACAGTCCACAGAACAGGCAACAAATATTCAAAGCTTTTAACAGAAGTATATCAAATCATATATCTGCAATGTATATTTAAATTCCACTCAATCAAAACAAGCAAATAAATACAACAATCATTTCAAAATTACTAAATAACATATTAAACTTGATATAATATCTTTAAAAAACATCATGCTTATTTAAAACTTGAAAGTTTCAATTTATTTTACATCACTCAATATAATTTCCTTTAAAAAAACTTCAAGTTTTAAAAACTTTGAAATTTAAACTAGTTCTTTTCAATACTTTAGTAACTGCCATGTTAAAAAGATTCAATGACATAAGCTACTAATTAATTTTTGAGCAATTAATATTTAATATAAAATAAATGTATTACGTTTTTCTCATAAAGAACAATATGTATTTTACATGCTTGTTTTTTAACATGAAGAACTTTAACTCATAATATCTTATAAAAAACAGCTTCCTAGTTTCTGTAGATTTGTTTTAAATACTTATGTATCACTAATTCCATAAAGCAATTAGGAGAAATATTCATCATTATGAGCACCAAAAAATTAGAACACAAGACATTAACAGAAAAATTCCAGCCACAGTAAGGAAATTATACAATTAGTGAATAGTTTTCACTTAACTTAAAAAAACTAGCCTAAGGATAGATGTTGTTGAAGAATTTGATTCCCCTTTGTAAAAGTCCAAGAAAAGCCATGTTAGGTGAAGGTGATATCACCTTCAAAAAAAAAAAAAAGAAGCGTTCCACTTCCTTTTAAAATCATTACAATATTTTGTGTGATTTAGACGTAATTTATTTACTTTACAAATGTTTATTGTAGAATCCAGAAACAATTAAATATTAACAAATCATAGTCATATCACCATCACATCATTTCAAGAAAGATGAAAAAAAAAATTTATTGAAAGACTACATTTTATTGTATAAATGGTGAGTGAATTTTCATGTGAGTGGGAAAAAAAATTGAAGAAAGATTTAAAGAAGATTTACGCATCAAGCAGTTTGCTCCAGTCTGATTCCTTTTTTGTGCATCATTTCATACTAAAGACATCACACAGTTTTGAAGTTACAAGTGTAATATGGTTTTGTTGTATGGAGTGGATTAAATGTGGGATATTACCTTGAAAATGATTGGACCCAAATTATTGACAAAGATTCAAGGAAAGTTCTTGCCTTAATTTTTCTGGGGATGTTGAAATTATATTAATTTGGCATAATCAACTGATTAAACAACACGACTAGTTTGTCAATGAGACTGAAGCACATGGGAGATTTCTATCCAAACAATATTTAGCAAATGATATTAAAATTTCAAAAACACTGTTTTGTTCACAAAACAATATGGTAATACATATAAGTATCTCTTTAACCTCCCCTTTTTAGAGGGAAGACATTTTATTACCTCCCCCTGTATTGTGTTACATAAGGACCAGACAATTTCTGATAGTTAATCAAAGCCTAGGGTACAACAAATAAATTGTGTTTTGTCTTGGTGAAAAACTTCAATCATCATAAACAGCTCCATTAGGACATCAACCAAGATAAGCACTATATCCGTCTTTTGATCATCTGTCACTCAGGATACAGGACCTAGTATTTCACCTTTACAGAGACAATACAAGTTAAAACCCCACAGCAGGTTTCAACATAAATAATATTTTCAATTCATTTCAGTATTCTGACATTATCTTTGGAAGTCACATTTCTCATAAATTATTTGATTAATCAAAATATGCCACTTTTTCTAATTGAGGTCAATGCACCAAGAACTCCACCCCCTGAAGCTCCTCCAAATATGGAAGAAGATGACTTAGATTTGGAAGCCTCAGCTCCACCTTCTGATGCAGCAGCAATTGTCACAAGATTATCCACAGAAGATGATTGTGTTGGACCTGAACAAACAGACACTTTAGGAATCGCACCTTGCTGTGAATGTGAAGTGTTTGTATTCTCATGCAGTGTTGGCAAAGACACCACTGAGTCTGACCTTTGCTGACCTATTTTCCCAAGATAACCATACAAGGAAAAACCTGTGTTTTTGATACGATTGAGGAGGTTTGCCTCCTGATAATCTGCACCAGACAATGAGTTTGGTCTCTCCGGTGACGTTTTCGTTGGTGAACTCGTAGTCAAGGAAACCCCCGACCCGGGTGATGAGGTCACAGTATGGGCTTTTGACTTGGCTAGATCAAAATGAGACTCGGATACCAAACAACTAGACATTCTTGAGGGGTTGTTGGCCCCTGATGTTTGGGGTTTCTTGTCTGAGGGGCTGAGCAAGTCACGCTCATTCAAAATGGCTGCCAGTCCCAGAGACATGCTATATGTTGTAGTTCCGCTTGACTGAACCATAGAAGTAAGTCGAGGTGTTGAAGACTTTGTCGATGTTGATCTGCAAATACACAAAACAAACGGATACAATGCTATGTTTGCTATAAAGATACTTATCAGCATATCAGAACTAAGTTTCAAAAAGATCAAGACATCAGCTGTATTTCAAATAATTTTTTTTCTTTTAGTGAAAATCTGTGATTTGACCAGGACCAATTTTTCAACATTATAACCAGACAACCAATTATAGATTCACCACAGTACAATTTTTATTATTTCAAAGTTTCACTAACAGACAACAATGTAGCAGTATTAATATTTCATCTTTACATTTTGTAAATATTTGTAATTTCTTATTGAGAGATATCTCCACCAGCTAAGCTTCTTCATGCTGAAGCAAAGTTAAATCTCTGAGGATAGTAAATATGTATTATTTACCAGATACTTATCAAAGATTGTTGTTGTCGACTCAGAAATATGACTTAATACATTATGAATTTTATAAAAACAAATAAACTTAATATGACATTATTAACAGGTGATCAAACAATTTGATTTTAATAGGAAGGGTTCAAACTATTCCAATAGATTTATTATTTTATCAAAAACATCACATGTTTGAAATACCTGCCAATTCAAAATGACCAGAGGTTCACTGGACATAAATATTAGAATTGTTTGTCCTTGACCATAAAAACAAGCTATCATTTTGTTAATAGATTCACTTTTCAAAAAATATTAACACTGAAGGAACTTGACTATAAGATTATCAGTGAAAGTGAGGGATGCTCCTGAAAACAAATTTATTGGATACAAAATTTTAACAAAGGGCAATAACTCTGTAATTAAGGAGTTGTAAGCCCTGAGTTTAGAACACTTCACATCCTCTTCATATGATGAGTATATCAATTAAAGCAAAGTCATGCTCCAATCATTAAATTTAAACAAGGGGCACAAACTCTATAATTAAGGTGTTGGAAGCCACAAATTCAGTACACATGACATCTTTTTTATTATGAACAAGGTATACACCATGCAGTTTCATTACCATAGCTTAAATGCAAGCAAAGTTATGCTCCAGACACAGAAGTTTTAATAAAGGGCAATAACTCTGTAATTCAGAGGTGGCAAGCCCTGAATATGGTTAACTGCACATTGTCTTCAAACCAGTATAGCCTGTGTATACACCAAGTTTCCTAATCTTTGCTTAACTGTGTACAAAGTTCTGCTCCCGACATGCAATGATGAAAGGAAAGATGGACACAGTACAATCTATATGCTCCCTTGAAAATTTTCGTTCAGCATAAAAATAAGAGCAATTTACAAACAGTTTTTGTGAGAGTAACGCTGCTGGTTTCCTTAAATTGTGGATTGACAAAGTTCAAATTCAGCGAACAAGGGGTCACTCCAAAAAACTTTACATGCAGTGTAAACTTGACATCAGGAAACATTCTATTTCTTTGTGTGTGCTCAAAATATGGAACAATCTTCCGGAGTATATCGTATCGGCACCAACAGTTAACTCTTTCAAAAATAGATTAGATGAACAATGGGCAAATCAAGAACTGGTATATAATTATAAAGCAGAAGTTCTGTAGTTCCTGGATCTGACGTCTCAAATGACAATAATTATAAACATTATCATTGTATTACTGAGACCGATATAGAGGATCGTAACCATCCTGCACTGGTAATAAACTAAACTAAACTAAACTAAAGAGCAAATCAATCTATCATCATCGGCTACAACTACTAATCTATGCTTTATTGATGACATAACTATCACTTGATGTCTCCTTCCCAGAAACCAATGTTCTAATTACCATACTCCATTGGAATGATCTTATGATGATTCTGTAGCACTGAGGGATAAATCCTCTCTTGTTAGGATCATTAAGTTGAAATTTTCAATGGGAAAATGACCAAGCCAATCATGTTCAAAGCACAAAAGTCTGGTACCATGCATGCATTACCGATAATGACAGAATCGGACAAGGTAAGGATGGAGAGGTTTTGCAGATATTTAAAACTGAATTTCAGTGAAATTGTGATTAGAAATAACACAAATCATGTCTTTTTTTCCTCCTTTGAAAATTAGACATCAATCACTAGTGCCAAACAAAAGATGTGCACTATGACATCAAAAAAAAAAACCTCAAATCATTTTACTTTTCAACATTACTATGTAAAATCTGTGCATGCACTAAACTACAGCAAAGGCAACCGCTGTTAAATCAACAACTGTTAGATAATCTCAGCCCTAGTCATGATACTCAAGCTCACAGCTGCAAGATCCTTCATATTCATTCTCAGATAATACTACTGTACACTAGTCAATTGTAACACTATAAAAACATGCTATTGTCTGTGGAAAATTAAAATGGAAAAACAAAATGTTAACATTGTACATGACCTATACAAGACATAAAAATTTTCAATCACATGCAGACATTCTTTTGGTTTTTATATGATTCCCTGTAGTAGTTAAATATAGTGAAATTCTAGTGAAGGAATATTGGTATAGGAAGTAGGGCTGGAAAGAGTGTGCAGTGATCAGGGCCAAAAGGGAATACGGATCAGGAGAGTTACAATTGACTAGTTTTTGTTCATAATTTGAAAATCCAACCTAGCGAAACATTTGTTGCCATAGTAAACTTACTCTGTACAATCTACGTCAGAGTCAAGTTCCGATCCATCCTCGCTGTAAACAAATTGTGGCACATTAACACAAACTGCAGTGCTGCCATCTAGCTATCTTATAGCATCGGAAAAAAGGGAGATAACTAACATCAAATGAAAATTGCACAGAAAATTTTTTAAATCAATCATGCATGAAAAACTAAACTGTAAACATAAAGCAGAATATTTGATGTCTGTATAACAGCAAACACTCAAATATACTGTGCTCATGCATATTCATTATGTTTAATTAAACTCAATGTGATTGCTGAAATTCTGAATTAAAAGAGTAATCAACACTGCATAACTCAACCCTAGGATACTATGGAAACATATATATATATATACTTTTAAATAGTGGGATCACAAAAATACAACATGAGGAAACAAACAGCACAAAAAACTGAATTGGAGCAACTAATAGGGAAGAAGGTAGACAACTGAAGGAAACTTACCCTACAAGCTGGGTTGGGTGTTTGACTGTAGAGTTTGTGTATGTGTTTATTGTTGAACTCTCCTGGAATCTCTTGTAGCACTCTGTGTTATCCTCGTAATCATCTGTAAAATATCCAAATGCTTTAAGTTACGTAATGAATTCCTCTAATGTAGCATATAAAACGATGTCAGATATAAAATTAAAGAAATACTGGTTCCTGTCAAAATATACTTTTGTTCAGTCCAATCTCACCTGTGCCACCTGTGACTACATGTCCCTCTGTTGAGAGACCACCTGTGACTACATGTACCTCTGTTGAGAGACCACCTGTAACTACATGTCCCTCCATTGAGAGACTACCTGTGACAACATGTCCCTCCATTGAGAGACCACCTGTGACATGTCCCTCTGTTGAGAGACCACCTGTGACTACATGTCCCTCTGTTGAGAGACCATCTCCAACTACATGTCCCTCTATTGAGAGACCACCTGTGACTACATGTCCCTCTGTTGAGAGACCACCTGTGACTACATGTACCTCTGTTGAGAGACCACCTGTAACTACATGTCCCTCCATTGAGAGACTACCTGTGACAACATGTCCCTCCATTGAGAGACCACCTGTGACTACATGTCCCTATGTTGTGAGACCACCTGTGACTACATGTCCCTCTGTTGAGAGACCACCTGCGACTACATGTCCCTCTGTTGAGAGACCACCTGCGACTACATGTCCCTCTGTTGAGAGACCACCTGCGACTACATGTCCCTCTGTTGAGAGACCACCTGTGACTACATGTCCCTCTGTTGAGAGACCACCTGTGACTACATGTCCCTCTGTTGAGAGACCATCTCCAACTACATGTCCCTCTGTTGAGAGACCACCTGTGACTACATGTACCTCTGTTGAGAGACCACCTGTGACTACATGTACCTCTGTTGAGAGACCACCTGTAACTACATGTCCCTCCATTGAGAGACTACCTGTGACTACATGTCCCTATGTTGTGACACCACCTGTGACTACATGTCCCTATGTTGTGAGACCACCTGTGACTACATGTCCCTCTGTTGAGAGACCACCTGCGACTGTTGAGAGACCACCTGTGACTACCTCTGTTGAGAGACCACCTGTGACTACATGTCCCTCTGTTGAGAGACCACCTGTGACTACATGTCCCTATGTTGTGACACCACCTGTGACTACATGTCCCTATATATAGTTCTCAAAAACTAGAGTGCATGTTGATGAAATTTCAGGTGCTTCTTGTTTAAGTGACAGTATTTTTACATTTAAAGCATTGAATATGTCAATGGTCAATTCTTGACAACTATAAATGATTTACCATCTTCCTCTAAGTCACTCAGGTTGTAAACCTCTTCACTCATGTCCAGTTTCCTTTCCCCTTTAATTTGAACACCTGGGCGAGATTCAAAGATGCCTCCCAGGTGTGGAGTAGCAAGCTGCTGCCAATGGCGTAGAGTAACAGAACCTGAGAATCAAATAGTTAATAACATTTATATAGGACTTTTTAATCTGGGGTGCTTCACCTACAATATTAAAGCTGAACAGTCTGGCCTACCAAAACAGGGCTTTTCTGGGACCTTCAAATTTATCAATTGTAAAGGTCCAGGAACTCACATCGTATATGAGATTGAGTAAAACTTTGAAGGTCAGGGAAAATTCTGCCAATATTGATTTGAAAACTGTGGGCAACTCACAGCTTAAATAACTTGATTTGATCTTGAAAACCATAAACAAAAGAATTCTTTTTAAGAGAGAGAAATTTATTTATTTCATCCACTTTTCATAAGTTTAAACAATTTGTCATTCTAAAAATGTATTTCTAATGCTGATAAAGACCTTAGAGTTTAATTTTTGTCTGGTACTTACAAAAGTTATTTCCAGGAGACTTTCAAAAGTACGAAAGTACAAAGTGTAATAGTTATATATGTATTATATATATGAAGTCTTACCCTCAAGAGGTTTGATGATTTTCAGTTTTTCTGGAAGTCGATAGTGGGGGTTGTTACTGCCTGGGAGAGACAGCTGAGAGAATCCTGATCGGAAACTTCCTGTAGAGAGTGTACTATCTGGAGTTGGACACATGCCAGGCGTATCTGTGGATTCCTGACCATCAGATCTACTGGTATCCGACCTGTGAACACAGAAACAGATATATTCCCTATAGCAAGTAGTTCTTTAATACTTCACAAAATTTCAAAGTCCCCCCAAGATACATTACAAACAATGTTTTTACAGTCTGTGCATATACCTGTTCATATCATCTATAATAAATGGCCTGATATGTCATTGTCACACAAGTAGGAATAAATTCTCTACCTGTGTCTCTGTCTTTTCCGATTTTCTTCATCCTCAAAAAAGTCCTCCTCGTTCAGTTCATTAGCACGGCGAATGGACAACTTTCTCAGTGCTGTTTCCAGATCGTTAGAGCCAGGTATTCCGGGCCGTCCCAAGCTGTGCTTCTTTACATCACTGCAGTAAAACACAAACATCTAATATATTTTTGAGACCTGTGAAAATCCTGGGCATAATCTTGGTAAATCTTCATAAAATTCCTACCGGAGTTGAGCTTAATTAGAATATTTATGTAAACAAAATTAAGTTTCAGAAATGAAATGGGAAAATATCAATATACCATTACTTTTGTAGATATCAAACTTTAACGCCCATTTAATTAGAAATGGAGAGGAGAGCACCTGTCCAAAACCAGTAGCATTTTTGTAACCTAGTTTTGTATAATACACTATATGCCAAAATAGTGATATTCTAACTTTACTCATCTTACTTCATCTTAGAAGGGTAGAAACTAAGCAGAATGCAAATAATATTTCAGGAAGATCCCCTCTTCTTATACTGCCAGAATTGACTAGGTTATGATTGGGTAACTTAAATACAACAATCTTATGATCAATTCGAACAAAGTAAAGCACTGACCCATAGAGGCTGTCCAGATCAGCATTGTATCCGTCACTCTGGACAGACTCTGACTCGGAGAAATACATGGAGCTCCGGTTGGACATTCCAGCAGACAGAGCTCCGGCCCTTCCAATAGATGAGGCTGTTCCAGACATTGCTGGTGAACGAGCTCCTGAATCCTGGCTGCCATCGAGACTAAGCAAGGAGAGTCCAGAAAGACCAGACATTCCTGAAATTCCAGACGTCTTCTCTGTCCCAAAACTGTTACTATTACTAATGCCATTGTGCTTGTTGCTTGCTTTCTTCGCAGCCTTTGCCGTCTCAAAAATTCTCCAGTTATGTACTCTGAAAAACAAAGTTCAGATAAATTCTGTTAAAGTTATCTCCCTTTCAGTACTTCAATTTTGGTCCAATGATAAATCAGAAGAAACTTTGACTCCTAAAATATTTCTTTAAAAAAATTAAGTGCCAAAGTGGTAAATTCGTCAGCTTACATCCGAAATTTATTTGCATATCGAATTTCTAGAAAAAGATGTTTAGACAAGTATATAGACAATTCGATCATGTATCAAAGATGTCAAAAATGATATGCAACAAAAAGTGGAATGTTTGATTTTAGATAATTACAAAAAGATTCATGAAGTTACATTGAAGAGTTTCTGAGATAACAGCATAATGCAGAAAGTCAAATTCCACAATAACCACAGATACAACTAGACTTAATGGACTTAAATGTTTATACAGGTAGTGGGAAGGCCGTTTCTGGCTTGAGTATGATCAATGCTCACTTTCTCTCTGCTGGTGAGTACCCAAGTGGGAAATCTATTTCTGACTTGAGAGATGTCTCAAGTTCGGAGGCAATAGAGTCACTGGGAACACTTAATAGTGATGTAGACAGATAACTGTGTTTAGCTACGTTGGGTTTCTGTTTTCTTCGTAGCCTTCGTAATTCCTCCTGATTCTCCTCAAGTAATTCAAGGACCTCATCATGCTTGTCTTTGTATTCACTTAACTATAACAAACCAATCAAATACAAGTTTAGAAGAGTGACTGACCAATCAGATACAAGTTTAGAAGAATGACTGACCAATCAGATAAAAGATAATTAAATCAGTACTTCAGACAAACTATCTGATACATTCATTGTCAGCTTAAAGATTTCAATTTGCCAGCTTTTCTATATATCACTGAATGAGTAGTTATCTTAAAAATGAACATAGAACAGAAAACAAATTCAGATAATTAACTTTTTTAAAAGGTCACAATGAACGTTTTTTTCTTATTACTGTAAAAGTTGGTAATTCTGCAGGGTTCAATTTTTTTCTCTATTTTCTATGATGGAATAAAATCACCAGAAACAAGATACCTCAAAAATAAACAAAGAAAAGAAACCATAGGTTGTATCATACCAACTGGGAAAATATCACCATAAACTAGATAGCTCTAAAATAAACAAAGAAAAGAAACCATAGGTTGTATCATACCAACTTTTAGATTCTAAAATAAACAAAGAAAAGAAACCATAGGTTGTTCATACCAACTGGGAAAATATCACCATAAACTAGATAGCTCTAAAATAAACAAAGAAAAGAAACCATAGGTTGTATCATACCAACTGGGAAAATATCACCATAAACTAGATAGCTCTAAAATAAACAAAGAAAAGAAACCATAGGTTGTATCATACCAACTGGAAAAATATCACCAGAAACTAGATAGCTCTAAAATAAACAAAGAAAAGAAACCATAGGTTGTATCATACCAACTGGAAAAATATCACCAGAAACTAGATACCTCAAAAATAAACAAAGAAAAGAAACCATAGGTTGTATCATACCAACTGGAAAAAAAAAATCCTGATCACAAACAAAGAGTACGGTTAGCTATGTTTCAGAAAAACAGAAATGAACATTTTTCCTATTTCTCAGGTTGGCTGTGAAAGGTTGACCCTGACCTTGTACCAAGCTAACATTCTTACCTCCTTAGTCAGGTGTTTCTGTGCTGACTGTGACGCCTCAAGATGTTTCTGGAGCTCTAGATTCTCCGCTGTTAACTGGAAACCAAGACAAAATGAATTATTGTATATATGAACTCTCAGGATTCTATCTAATAAATTTCCCAATTACTTTCATTTGTCCCTATTTCTAGGCTAATTCTTGTCATTATGTTTGTCCCTCGGTCTTTGCGCATCAATATCACTAAAGTTTTGGACCCTACTCCCAATATTGTATCACTCACTTGAAACTAAAACTTTAGCTCCAGCCATGACAAGTCTGTGCTATCATCCCTTTACTTTTCATTAATTTTTTTCTAGATTAATACTTACAACTTTGCATTTTCTCTGGAGATCAACTAGCTGTGCTAAAAGGTTGGTGATCTCCTCCTTCTGTGTATGAGTTTCTTCTGTCTTTCGAGCAAGTTCTTGTGAATAAACTGAGACCTGATCTTTAACTTCCGCTGTAAATCAAATAAATGAAAAATTTGAATTGGAACCATATCACACAAAAACCTATTAGGAATATTTAATCTTGTTTTTAAATAACACACTTCATAAATCTTTCAATAACAGAGGAATGATTCACAATTAACACTAGCTTATTCATCTTTGGGGGTGGGGTAGAGGTGGGGGTGGGGTAGAGGTGGGGGAGGGGTAGAGGTGGGGGAGGGGTAGAGGTGGGGGTGGGGTAGAGGTGGGGGAGGGGTAGAGGTGGGGGAGGGGTAGAGGTGGGGGAGGGGTAGAGGTGGGGGAGGGGTAGAGGTGGGGGTGGGGTAGAGGTTGGGGGTGGGGTAGAGGGGGGGGTGGGGTAGAGGTGGGGAGGGGGAGACGTAGAGGTGGGGGTGGGGTAGAGGTGGGGGTGGGGTAGAGGTGGGGGAGGGGTAGAGGTGGGGGTGGGGTAGAGGTGAGGGAGGGGTAGAGGTGGGGGAGGGGTAGAGGTGGGGGTGGGGTAGAGGTGGGGGAGGGGGAGAGGTGGGGGAGGGGTAGAGGTGGGGGAGGGGTAGAGGTGGGGGAGGGGTAGAGGTGGGGGTGGGGTAGAGGGGGGAGGGGTAGAGGTGGGGGAGGGGTAGAGGTGGGGGAGGGGTAGAGGTGGGGGAGGGGTAGAGGTGGGGGTGGGGTAGAGGTGGGGGTGGGGTAGAGGTGGGGGAGGGGGAGACCATAAACACATAAACTCCAATATAAAGGAAGAAATATCCATATTACAGGCCAATGATAGCAGTGGGAGGTTTTTCCACTGAATCTGAAATAGCTGTTAGTGGGCTTATTATGGTATACGGCATTTGTTGACATTACTACTGTCTGCAACAGATGGTCATGGGATTAAGTTAGATATACACAGTAAATGTATCTTACCAAGTTGTTCTAGGCAGTCAGACACAAGTTTTTGTTCCTTTTCTTCAAAATCTGATGTTTCAGCGCTTAATTGTACTGTCTAAAATTATAAAAACAAAAACAATGTATAGAGATATGATTATATGACTTCTGGTTTTCCTTGATTTTGTAATAATTTACCGCAAATCACAAATTTAACCACACTTAGTCAACCACTAAGCATTTACACTGCTAAATATGTAATTAATGTTAATTTTAAAGAATTAATTCTAATTCATTGAAAGCAAAGATTTTTCATGGTACAAAAATTTGTAGTTTTACCCAAACTTTTTCTCTATTCATTTTTGTTCCAAATATTGATGTTAAGTGATATATTCTAGGCTAAGAGATAGTGAAAGAGAGCTACATAAAAATAAAGACGCTTTGATTTACTAAACAGCACATTACAAATATCAAAATTTTTATCTATTAATTAAGATTTACTATCATTTACTGAAACGATATTAAAATGACCGACTTTTATTAAAGGGAGATAATTATCAAAATAAATATCTGATGCACCTTTTCTCAGAAAGAAAGACAAACACATACAAGTACATCTGACCCTACTTCTATATTGATAGATATTAAAGTCCATTGTGGTCTCAACACTTCAACAGTAATTACAGTTCTATGATAACACTGGCACATTTTTTGTCATTACCAGTTCACTTCAATATGAAGTTTTATTTTTTCATTGTAAAACTACACACTGTTGCTATGAAAAACTCATCAATACAAAGTCTGATGTTTCTATGCAAAACCAAATATTGGCTCTATGACAACTCCCAACCTCAATACAAAGTTCAATATTTTCAAGGTAACACCACATATTAGCATTATGACAAATTCCCCTCAATACAAAGTGATGTTTTCATGGTAATACCACATATTGGCAATATGACAATCCCCATCTCAGTAAGAAGTTAGACGTTTTCATGGTAAGACCATATATAGCATTATGATAAAACTCACCTCAATACGGAGTTTGATGTTTTCCTCTTCCAAGGATTTAACTTTTTTCTGTAGACTTGCAGCCCCCAGGGCATAAAGACCCTCTGGGTTTCCACTGTAGAATTAAACACAACATTCTATTATAGGTATTTACAGGAGAACAAAAAGCCAAAATACACTGAACTCTCACAAAAGACTCTTCATAATGCTTCTTAATCATACATATCAAATAATGTAATATATCACCGAGATGCATTAACTTTCAAAGTCCATGCAGTATTTTCATTTGACAGACATGTCAATCATAATTCTGATGATGTTATGGACAACTTTTATCATCAGGGTGATGTTAAATAATATGTAACGCTAAAAGTGAAACAAGGGGAGATAATTCATGTATTTAGGATCTCACATGAATTTCCAAGAGTTTATGAATATTCCATCATACCAAGATTAAATACCTTGCTTCTGGTTAAATAAAAAAAATGTGACCTGTTTGTCTGTTACACTGGATCAGATAAACCCATGTATGGAACCTCATATATTACACAACCCAATAAACATGCAAAGTTATGAGCCCTTACTTTGGAGAGTCATCTGTTGGTGTGCTGTCAGACTCGGAGTGGGTCAAAGCTTGGAGAAGCTCATCCTTGCGTAGAATTTCATGTTTAAATTGGTTGAGCTGTTGGACACAACACAAAATAGAAACATGTACATCTGTATTTAGTAATTATATCTTTAATATTACGTAAGACAAAGAAATCTTTAACATTACATAAGACAAAGAAATCTTTAACATTACATAAGACAAAGAAATCTTTAACATTACATAAGACAAAGAAATCTTTAACATTACATAAGACAAAGGAATCTTTAACATTACATAAGACAAAGGAATCTTTAACATTACATAAGACAAAGGAATCTTTAACATTACATAAGACAAAGAAATCTTTAACATTACATAAGACAAAGAAATCTTTAACATTACATAAGACAAAGAAATCTTTAACATTACATAAGACAAAGGAATCTTTAACATTACATAAGACAAAGGAATCTTTAACATTACATAAGACAAAGGAATCTTTAACATTACATAAGACAAAGAAATCTTTAACATTACATAAGACAAAGAAATCTTTAACATTACATAAGACAAAGAAATCTTTAACATTACATAAGACAAAGAAATCTTTAACATTACATAAGACAAAGGAATCTTTAACATTACATAAGACAAAGGAATCTTTAACATTACATAAGACAAAGGAATCTTTAACATTACATAAGACAAAGAAATCTTTAACATTACGTAAGACAAAGAAATCTTTAACATTACATAAGACAAAGAAATCTTTAACATTACATAAGACAAAGGAATCTTTAACATTACATAAGATATTGAAATCTGTAAGTTTACATAGGACAAAGAAATCTTAACATTATGTAAGACAAAGAAATCTTTAAAATTACGTAAGACAAAGAAACCTTTAAGATTACATAGGACAAAGAAGAAAACATGAATTTACTTTACAGACCGATAACTTACAAAATAGTTTCACAATAATTGGCACCTAAACAGAAACCGGTTAATTATCAATATTTCTCATTGTATAATTTATTAGTATACAAGTGATATTATATCAAAGACACAACTTACCTTTTCTGTTGCCTGGGAAACTTGTTCCTCTAATGATTCATTTTTGTCTGTTAAGTCTTGATTTTTCTGGAGAAGTGTTTGACCGATACGAGCAGCAAGTTCAAGGTCACGTTCTTTCTGTAAACAGAACAAATATGGCTAGTACCAGTTGGAGACTGTAATCTTAATGGACTAGAACTGTTTTAACCAACTTTTGGAAGGACTAATTACCAAACTGATACATCAATGTACTTGGCAGTGTAGATTATCTTGACGTTAATGTAAAGGAATGAGTATTCTTATACAATTAATCCAGACATCTTCATTTAAAATGTCCAAGAAAAAGCAGGTTTTCTAGAAAATATGGGGTGTCAAATTTAATAATCGTTCAGTGTCCGATCAACCCTTGTAACAGAAAGTGGTTTTAATTTCTGTTCTGCAGTCATCATTTACTTTAATTATCTTACTTGAGAATCAATTACTGCTGGAGGATCAAAGTAATAAAGCAGAATATGCAAAGAGCCATTGTTACAATCCAAGGGTTTTATATACTCAATATACTTAACCTTCTCTGCACCTTTTTATAAATATGTCCAGAAAACATTAAAGGCTACTTAAACAGACAGTATGATTGGTTCCCATTAAGAACATTAAGTAATCACTTTAACCTTCCCAACTTCAAGAATAACACCCAAAGTTCAATCAAGCACAATGCTTTTGTCAGACAGGAAGCTAAAAATGTTCTGTGGACTAAACCAAGCATACCTAGAATCCTCAGCCATGTGTAAAAGTTTGGTAGATATGACAATTAAGGTGACCAGAAAGCTGTAGCCTGAGTGATATATCTCATAATTATCAAACAGATACAGTACAAGATTTCTGGTAACGATTACAGACACATTGAACATTGACCACATGACTTTGACCATTTTTCTGTCAACTTTTTGTTGAATTCCAATCTAATTAGCTTAAATTTAAGTCATAACAAAATGCATACCAGTTAAAAGTAAAGGAAATGAAATTTGACCATGAACTTTATGTCCTGTGTGTAAATTTGACCTTGAGCATTATGTCCTTTGTGTAAATCTGACCTTGAACATGATGTCCTTAATACCATTTTGAAGTTAATTTTAGGACCAATCAAATACATTAACTTTAATCCAATTCATCTATTACACCTTGTTAGTAACAGGATATTGGATTTGTCAATCAGCCTTATCATAATCTATTTCAGAACATTTTCGCAAATAAAGATCTGTTGAAAAATTCACAAGATTGAAATAGATATAGATTATAAAACAGAGTCAGAGAAGTTTAGCTGTTTGGTTCCTTTTTACAGGCTCCAGGTGTCTGCCTTATAAAGTAGATATTGGTTCCTTAATCTCAGTCCTGAATGCCCTAGAAACCATCTTATTACACAACTCTATATATTGATTTTCCTTCACCGCAGAAATTTTACCTGAAATAGTTTTGTTACTAGTGTCATGGAATTAGAAGTCAACGCTGTAATTATTTTTCTTATTAAAATCTAAATTGACTAATAGAATCTTCCTCATTATATCTATAAAGAAAATAAAAAAAAAAGATAAAAAATATTCATCTCAATTATTTTATGTACTATTTAAACAGTTAGCTACCACAGCATACGTGCAAAACCCAATATTGACAATGGCGACAAGTCAAGATAAATATGTGTTCCAAAAGCCGGATTTATGTTCTAGGGCAACCACAAGTACCTTGAAATTGTGCTAGCTGCTTCAAAAATACATTATAGACTAGGTTACAAAAAAGTTTGGGCTGATTTGCCTGGCAATACAACTACGAGACGTTCAAAATGTCAAAAATAAATTACCAAGTTATTGAGGTATGTTATGCAATATCTAACTATTAGGTAGGAGAAATAAAAAACAAAAAACAAAAACAAGTCTGTTTGGTTTTTAGGTAGATTTTAGGTAGATATATGAAATGTGCATAAAGACACACAAGATTATTCAAACAAAACAAAAGTGTTTTTTAGTTGTAGGATCAGAACAGCAATGCCAACAAGCAGGGCAAAAGTTAAAAAAAAAAAAACCCAGATTACTGGTATTGATCATTTTTTAAATGTTCTGTTTGTTTATTTTCCGAAGCAAGTTCTAGAAAATGACATTTACCTTGAAATACTTTAAGCCTCAAATTTCTTCAACAATTATACTACCATAATGAGACCTAGCTGTGACTACAGGTATCCTAAAATGATTTTGTTTATTGTCTTTGTGAGCCTGATTGAAGTATTTATTGTAAATTAGAACTAAAGCGATAATCATGTCTTGATTTACACTACACTGTCTTTATATTCCAAAACCTAGTGGTCTCCTCAAATTAGGAGAGCTTGGCTAGGGTGTCAGATAAATATTCTACATACACCTGATTGCTTCAACCAAAAACTCATATACAGTGTAGTAATTATCACAAAAGTAACAAGTACAAGCCAGTTTTCAGACTATATCTAGTCTTCTCCCAAATCATGTATTGTACAAATAATCACAAATTGGTATGGATTTACCAGTATGGCATTTACTTTTCAAAACATGACTACAAAGGTCAGAATGGCTTGTTGAGAATGCTGTTTTGATCCTGAGATTTTTAATGGATTCTTTACCTCTTCAAGTAATCTATTAACAGCCTCTATGTCATTGTATGTCCTAGTCATCTGTGTCACACGCTCAGCACATAGGACTGAAAAAGAAGTTTTACATTCAGCACATGTGACTGAAAAATAAATCAGGTTTTACACTAAGCACATGTGACTGAAAAACAATTTTTTTTCTTACAACTGAAATAGTAAATAGCTGTACCTACAATGGAAAACATTGCCTTTTTTAATCAATGGGCACTTGTACAACTGATACTGATTATGAAGAGAAAGACCTTGGATTAGGAGTGATCTGTCAGAAATTATTGTTAACATGTCAACATATAACTTATTGAAAAATAAAGTGTCAAGATAATGTAAAATATCTAAAATATATGTGTGTGTATTTGAATGGAATTGTCCTCCGCCATCTTGTGCACAACAAATACGAATTTTGATAATTTAATTACGTATACAATGTACTTGTAACTGTCGATTGTACAGCTAGTTCTGGTCTGACGATTGCTCAACAGTAACACAACAAGTTTTAATTATAACAAATCTAAATAACAAGCAACATATAAACAAGGTAATTAAGACAATGTTTCATTAACTCATTGTCAACCAATTGGTTTTCATGAAAATAAATAGAGCTTTCAGACTTGTTTTCAACTGAAATTTAAAAAATAGAACTGAAATTTAAAAATAGAAAGTCTGTAAGTATGCACAAAACCCTGGTACATGGTTGGTCCAATACTACCACCATCACCACTGCTTCAACTTAAAAGTGAATTACTTAATTGTAAACAGGCATAGTATCTTGAGAACGAGGGGGGGGGGGTGAAATGAACCTCGGTTCACTTAACCATGGGCTTTATTTTATCATACTTCACCAGTACAGACTAAATTCGATCACATGAATCTGCCACAAAAGTGTTTAATATATTGATAATACAGTATACACCGATAGTAAAATCAAAGTCTGATATAGTCGTATGTATACATAGTCTGTATCTATTAACACACAAACAAAGAGAATAATGAAATGAAAAAAAATTCACTTAATGAAGGACAATTAAATTGAAAATCATCTGAATATATATTTGAGAGGACATTTGTAAAAGCACTGTGTTTCTAATTAGCTATGTAGGTACTCCTAGATATTTAACCACTGACCATCATCAGGAACTGAAATAATGAAACATGAAACTTGTATTGATCTTAAACAAAAAATCATTTCTGTGGCAGTTTTATTCAATACTAAAGAGCTATTGATTAACTACGCTTTCTGTACAACTCTATGTAATTAATACCACAATATTTAATCAATAATGAATAAAGGCTTCGTGGAAATTATCCAGTCACTGAACTCATATTTACTGTAAAATATAGCAAGTAAATTTAAAAATCAAAATAAATCATACGCTAACTTGATTAGGATTTGTTTAGGCATCACCATCACCATCACCATCACCATTATCATCTCTTTTATTTTTTAATTTTTTTTTTCTTTTGCAACAATTTGAAACAAAAAGACACAACTCAAAACACTTCCAATTAAGTATACAAAAAACAAATTGAGATTAAAATATCAGAAATCAGTACAAATTGATCAACAAATTTCTAGCAAAAGAAATCATGAGCTGACACTGAGCTTAATGGAACCCTGAATTGATAAGTGGTCTCATATGTGATGACTTTGTGTGAAGTCTTTTTTATTCAAAACCTTCTCTAGACTGATGACATTGATTCACAAGGTGATACAAGCTGACGCTATTATAACCAACATAGGCACACCCACATATAAGGCACTGGCATAAAAGATATATAATATATAATGTAATAATATGAAAACAGAAAGGTCACCAGGCTGTAAAATTTCAATTTAGAATTTAAAATTCCCTTTTTTTTTGTTTTGGGAATTTCCAAAGTGATAAAGACTTACTTTTCTTCAAGACCTCATCAATATCGTCTATACTGAATTGTTCCAGACCCAAATGCCTACAATTGAAATATGGAGACCCATTGCACGGAGTCTGAATACCTGGCATCATCACCAATGAACCAGATACTGGACCCTCTAGAAGGTCGTCTTGTCCAAAATCACCAACACTTTCAAAATTTTTGTCCCTAGTACTCATCTCCTGACCAGACCCAGTCGGCTTAGACTTTGATTGCCTTTTTGATGAAGATAATGGAGATCCATTCTTTTGTCTGGAACCAGTTCTATATTTTCTTTTATTACTACTACAGAGGTAGTTAGAATTCTTGTTTCCATGAGACATTTCATACAATTTTGATCCAATGCTTGGTTTCCAGCGTCTTGCTGGTTTGTCTTGAATCATAAGGTTTAATTCAAACCGGTCATAGCACAACCGTTTCTGAATTTCCATTCGTTCGCTTGTATTTTTTCTGTTTCTACTTCTCTTTGAACGACAAACCAACCTGCGCCTTTTTCCTCGAAGAATAATGTCACTAGTATCGCAAACATATTGATTATCATTCACCATTTTGTCATTGCATTTCAACTCCATATTATGTTCTTGTGCTTCACAAAATTTTCTGTCTTTTTGATCAACACTGTCAAAGTCATTTTTATTATCAGTGATATTTAAAGCTTTATTGAAACTGGAGATATCAGAAATTTCAGACTGATTGTGCTCAGAATCCACAGCAGATACACTTTCACCCACAAGATCCCAGTCATCTGTCCTATCTAAAGATTGTTCTTTAAAGCCAGCTAAATGTGTACCTTCATTTTGTGTTTCCTCAATCAGTTTGCTGTGTGTACTTTGTACAATATCTGGCACCGGCAGAATGATGTTCCGATTTTCATCCATCTCTAACAAAAGTCAGCGAAAATTCCCAAAAGTCAGAACAATAGAAATCCAACACTATCAGGAAAGCAACACAGAGGATGCAATAACATTGAATTCCAAATTTCTATCTCAGACAGCTATCTGCATGCTTATCCATTGAGAGACTAAGGTGATATGAAACTATCTTGCAAAGCTCTTTAAAATCAAACAACATTGATTCCTCGATATTGTATTTCTGGTTCCATGCATATTCAATGCAGCACAGCAGTGAAAATTTCTGAAACCCTACCACATGTGTATATAAGTATACATACAGTTTCCACACTAGTTTTGCACACTGGAACACTGTTATATTACAAATGTGTTGATTATTTCACTGATGAATTATAGATAACAACAAGAAATGAAACGTAACCAGCCAAGTAGACCTTGTACATATACTTTTACCAACTCTACCGCTGCAGTAAGTACCTGTTCTCCAACTATACAAATATCAACACCAAGAATTCGGTAACAAATATCCATAGATACCACAGCACAAAAGATGTTTTTGAATATTTTTAAAGGACAGAAAATAAAATGACGATGTTACCACTTCCTGTAAAATCAATTTAAGAGTGCCTTTATCCACAGGTAGCTTCAGTACGGGTGATCAATACCTGTTTCAAACATTTTGTAAAAACAAACTGCTTGTTGGTGTTGTTTCACATTCATCAACCAGTAGTAATAGATTATCTGGATTGAGCACTGTCGTTTGTGTTGATGGTAACACGGATTCATACACAGTCTCCAATATATTGCCTAGAACAATGTAAACACTTAAAAAGTACTCCTGTTTATTACTGTTCACAGGAAATACTAAAACTGTATAGATTGTCAGTAAACACGATTTTTTTCCCCAAACTCAAATGACAGTTGATAATTTGCCATTGTCTGATTCTCTGTAAAAAAATTAACTGATCCAGTAAGTTTTATTTGTAGTTGGCCTGGAGGGAACTTTCTTCACCAAATACCAGATCATTTCTGGCGCGAATCGCAGTGAAAGCAGAAGTTACCAGCATGTATTTATATACACACTTTCTGCGGATAAGTAGTTTGCTTATAGGTCAATATGATGCCTCCGTTGTCATATCATGCACCTTTTCCCACTGTAAACAGTTACTGCACAAACACCAGATCAGCAGAACTGTAAGAGGTCTACACTTAATCACACAACTAAAACTCATCGCCTCCTTGTCTTTACTCAACTTTAAAACTATTTTGATATCTCTCCTTTCTCTGGATCATTCCATTTTTTTCCTCCATAAGGAAAACTTTCATAATACAAATATAAAATCTCTTCTGGGTGAATTTTGTTTCAATGGTTTAGAAAAATACTGTGTCAGTTCTGCAAGAGCGATAAAACTGTTACATAAAACAGTAGCCTGGTCAATAATTTATAGTCATTGTTTAAAGTAGGCAAATTTTTATTCAGGCCACATGTTTGTGCAAATTAATTTTTTTCAGAATTTGTTTGTTTTTTTTTTTTTTTGTCACATGAAACCACTGAATCCTCTAATCTTCCCTTAACATGGATATATAAATCCTTATATCGAATCGCACTTCAAAGAGTTTTCTTTCCTATGATAGACACAATAATAAATCTTCTGTGTTGACAAATATTTAAAATTAAAATCCTTGACAAATTATATCCAAGAATTTCCAATGGTAAAGTCAACATCAATAGTAATCCAACGAAATCAGCATGCACTACACGAGATGTTTGCAAACAGTTTTCATCTCTTCCTTAAGCACGCCCTACTGATAAGTCAATCCACACAATCGTCTAGAGATCAAAACAATGGTAAGGCTCTTATGTTCAATCACCACCATTCTACTTCTAAAAATCAACAGGCTCAGCTGTGCCCGTTACCAATACTCAGATCATCCATTACAGAAGTTCCAGGAACCAGCTGACTTGGATATAGAGCTGATAATACATGTATAGCTGATACACCAACAGAAATGACTGCGCAATTATAAACAAAACATTTCAGGTCGCATGCTCTAAAGTCAGCACATTCTGTCAATCATCCGACGTGTTCACCAATCAGCATAAAGTGTTGCTCTCCAAAAACGTATTTATACCGAGAGGCTTGATCAATACTCAATAAATTATCACTATGAGACCTCTTTAAGAGCTTGGAGGTCTCTGTCTGGTAAAAACCAGATCAGTTGTAAAATAAACTATATGGATGTCCTGTGGGAAATATCATTTCAGTTACAAATAGGAGCATGCTAAAACA